GATGCTTTTCCGAATTTGAATTCCGGTTAGTGTGTGACGCTTCTGATATTAAAATTCTGATCCTAGGCATTCTGGGTAAGTGTTTCAAGTTTGCAGGATAGTTCTAGCTCATTAAGCTGGAAGGAGGACCAAAGGTGCTACAAAGTATTAATTATGATAGATAGAGTCTCCAGACATGGCTCCCTGCGGTGATGAAGAAAATAAATTTGGCCTCATTTTGCAGCCATGCCATCGTTAGGATCCTAACGAGCCCCCTGGGGTTTCAATGCTTGGATCTCAGGCTATTTAATGAATATTTTAGGCCTTTAAGGTGGTCCCTGGACACTACTCAAGGGTGATAAATTCATGAGGAGGAAATTTTGCTCATGAATGCAACTGATTGACTTTTAGCCAGTGAATTTAACAGATAGGTGATGAGTAACACAGTGAGCCATGTAATAGATAAAATATTTTATCTATGATTCTGAATTTTTTAAACAACCTTACTTTTAGTAGGCTTCATGGCAAAGTACTCTGAGGACTTGTAAAAAAAAAAGTGGGATGCCTGGCTGGTGTGGCTCAGCGGACTGAGAGTGGCCTGTGAACCGAAGGGTCACTGATTCCATTTCCAGTCAGGTCACATGCCTGGGTTGTGGACCAGGTCCCCAGCTGGGGGCATGTGAGAGGCAACCCGTGAATGTTTCTCTGGCACGTTGATGCTTCCCTTTGTCTCTTTCTCTCTCCCCTCCCTACTCTCTACAAAGTAAATAAGTAAAAATAAAAAACAAGTGGGAAAAACTGCATTTCAATTTTCAACTAAAGGTAAAAATTACATTCTACTTTAATATGTAGGTCCCATAGTTGTACTTCATGTAAGATACATTTAAATGTATGTAGTTCCTTTGAATGATGCCTGAATATCCAATTCTTTGAAAAATCTGCACAGTGAATTTTCTCAGACTTACCCGATGCCTCCTCAAGGTCCATTCGATATTTGTCAAAACTCAGGGTTTTAGTCCCTTGAATCTTTTTTGTTTTACACGTAAGGTGACAGACTTACCTGAGGCCATAACAATGTCCTCACCACGAGACCGGCACTTTGGAAGGGCTGCTGCTGCTCCCAGCCGGACAGAAAAGGTAACAGGGCAAAGCCAATGGGGGACTGCACCTACCGGCCTCACTCAACAGGAAGCCCCTTCTCATTTGGGAAACAGAGGCAGTCCCTCCTCTGCTTACCAATCTCATATTTTTTTAAAAGAAATCTCCAAGTTCCTGGCTGAATTATTAAAACCCATTGAAGCCAATGTATTTTGGTGCTTAGGAATGAGAGTTTTTGATAGTGCGAAAGTGGGTGGGTAGGGCTAATATGCAAATGCATGAACTAGGGCTCAGTTTCAGTTTGTGCACTCTCTAATCTGAAACAGACCCTCTGATTTTGCAAGGTAATTATGATGTATGCCTTAGAGTTCTAAGGGACAAAAATATTTGAATTTCCAGAAGTACACTTGATTTTTTAAATGGCAACCCACTTACTGTGTGGCAAGAGCTTTAGATTACTTTCCTAGTGCAAGGAAGAATTTTTCTTTACTCCAGGTTCATTCTTCAGTCTAGAAGTTAGTCTGCTATTTTATTGAGTACTTATAATTTGTTAAGCATTATTAGGCAGTGTGTGGGTAAAGGAGAGACCAATGTGACTAATACTTGTCTCCTAGACTTAGATCCAAGTATCTTACAATTTAGGGAGTGCAAAATTCAGTGCAAACTGTTGCATCGATATTAAGAATTGGTTTTTTTATGGAAGTTCAATTAGTGTGAAGCTAATAGGGAAAATAGCCTGGTTATGTTCCAAATGGGAAGATAGCAGTTTTTTGTATTGTATTTGGTGATTCAACATTTCTTTCAGCATCTCCATGATTCAGGGTCTTGCACTAACTACCATAGTGGGAAAAGGAAAGGTCTTGGCTTTGCCCTGGCCAGGTAGCTCAGTTGGTTAGAGCATCATACTGATATGCCAAGGTTTCTGGTTTGAGTCCCTCCTACCCCATCCCTGATGGCATGTACAAGAATCAACCAATGAATGCATAAATAAGTGGAACAACAAATCAATGTTTCCCGCTTGCTCTCTCTCCCTCTCTCCTTCTCTAAAATCAATACATAAAAATTTTTTTAAAGATCTTAGCTTCGAGTTGGTGGTATATGGATTATACGGATGTCTTTAAGATGTCTTTAAGAGGTTTACATCCTGGGTGTGCAATTTAACTGCTTATGTGACTTTGGAAGAGTTATTTAGCTTGAACTTCTCATTTATAAAAAGAGGATAGTAGTAACACCTCATTGAGCTGATAGGTGAATCAAACACACAAATACATATGAAAGCATTAACTTAGTGCCTGGCACATAGTAGATAATAAATGAATGTAAATTACTATTATTACAGTCTTCTTGGGGAGAGAGAATCCACAGAGAAAGGACTTAAAAACATAGTAACATAAAAATGATAACATACCAATGAATATTATGTGAGGAGATGTATACTTTGGAGCAACAAAAGAAATAACCTCCAAAACATGTTTTTTTATTCCAAAACCCTACTGCATAGTTTCAGGTGGGTGTCCAGATTATTCTGGGCTAAAGCCATGAATTTCTTGGCATTCAATACTTATCCGAATAATAGCTTGGGCAAGGTCCTAGAGAGAAAAGGTAGCTTTTATGGTGGGGCCTGGTTTATACTTAGTGATTACAAATTTCCCTTAAAGCTTTTAGCAGGAGTGGCTCTCTTGCAAAATTCCAAAGGAGATGTTTTCTGAATGGTCTTACTTACCTTTAGCGTAGGCCACCTCTTACCATAATGTTAGTACACCCAGCCCCAGATTTTATTTTTCCCAGATGTCTGATGTCTAAAACTTTATTGGGTTCCTTAGTTTAGGAGTTCTTTTTTCTTCCCCAGTTGAAAGGCAAATATTCTTGGTACAAGAAAGGAGAAGCAAGGTCCAACACTATGTTGGCCAATCCCTACTCTCATCCTCACTTTGCGTTTTGGTTACTACCATTAGCGACCTAACTCTTCAATCTGGACTACCTTGTATGGGTCTGTCTATTGTGACTGTATCTAGTCCCCAGTCTTGCTTGTAAATTCCTCTAGGGCAGGAATTATGTCAAAAGATTTTGTAAAATATTGATTCACCTTGACCCTTATTATTCTCTACCTTAAACTTGTATAGTACAATTTGACATCAAAAGTAGATGAACAGTAGATAGTAAATTACTATTGTTCGTTGTGATGATCTGGTTTCCCTTTCCATAATTCCAAACTGTAACGTGTTCTCTAGTATGTATGTATGTATTTATATATGTATGTATGTATGTATGTATTTATCTTAGAGGACAAGGAAAACAAAGAGAGAGAGAGATTGACTTGTTGTCCCACTTATTTATGCATTCATTGGTTGATTGTTATATGTGCCCTGATGGAGGATTAAACCCACAACCTTGGCATATCAGGACAATGCTCTAACCACCTGAGCTACCTGGCCAGGGCTCTAGTATTCTTTCACAACTAGAAATTGTGGAGCAGGCAGTTTCAGACCTTCTGGAAGTCTGAAACTACTGCAAGAGGCAACATAAGACTACAGATTAGGAAGGAAAAACAAATCTATAAACCATCTCAGAAATTGATTCTTGCTGACCGTAGATCTTAGATGTAGAAGAGAAATTTAGAAAGTCTTGTTTTCCTGTACTTTGCAAAAATTATCCAGTGAAATTTATGTTCACTTTGGGTAAATCTATGTGTAGTAAGGTCCACTCAAGGGTCATTTCCATAGCTTGCTCAGCTCTTCCATACTCAAAAGAGTCCCAGGAAATGAGTTATTAGCACATAAAGCCGCTTTTTAGAATATTCTAAACAAATCCATGGGGTCATGGTATGTGAAATTCTAATCTAGACTAGCAGTAGCCTTATTTCCCTAACCATACAATCTGTTTTTTGACTGTTTCTATAAATTTAAAGTTTAAAAGCACATCACCAAAAAAAAACAAGTCATTTTTCATTTCTACTGAGAAATGATTTTGAGACATTTGTGTTCGAGGCACAGGGAAAGAATTGCCAGGAAGGTCTTTACAACTTTTAAGTTGGATCAGTTAAAAAAAAAAAAGAAGTGAGCCTTAAGGGATGAAAATGAGGCTGATACTTGGGAGTCACTGAAATCAAACATGAGCTACTTTCGTGTTTTGTAGGAACAGAACGGACATACTGGATCCAGAGAAGGGCTCACCTAGGATACTAGGTTATTAGCGCTTTCAAAGACTCTGAAGACGAAATGGGGCAGGACTTTTCCCTTCTTGCCCAAGAAGTTTAGGTAACTGGGACCTGCGTTTGCCTCAATTAATTGAGTATTCACCCCTAATTTGTGTTTGGTACCTTATCAGGTAAAGGCAGTGGAAACAGGTTCAAAGACAAATGTAGTACTAAGTAAGCTCCAGAAAGAACCAGGCTTCCAAACCGGCGCGCCAAGCTGCCTGAGACCCAAGTAAGGTAATGATGACCTTAGGACTAAACTCTTCCATTAAGATAAAGTGAATCTTTTGGGTCGTGTGAAAGTTTACCAGAAGTCCTCACCTGAAAATTTGAGTATTTTCATAAGATCGAAGCACACCTTGTCTCGGGGCTTAGGAATTAACGAAATACAGTAAAAACACCTCTAGAAGTTAAATAACGTTCGGAAAAACTGACTTTAGAAAGAATAAAACATGACTATTTCTCATTCTTCTACCGCAAATTCAAAGAATGTAATGAGAAGGGAATGAAGCAGTTTAAGAAAAAGAAAAAAAGGAAGGCGGGTCCGTGTTTGCAACACCTCCTGCCTCGCCTCCACCGCCCCCCAAGTCAGTGATTCCCACCCCACCCTCCAGCCTCGCCTCTATCCAGCTTGGCTCCACCCTGCCCTACGAGCTCACTGATTTTGCAGCCAGTCGGGGGAGAAACGAGGCGGAACTTCCGGCATTTGAAAAACTTCCGGCGGGAACCGGAAGATGTAGTCACAGACTGAATCCCGGGCCTTCGGATACGTGGTGCGGGAAGGTGAGCTGAGCGTGTGCCTAGGCGGTGCTCCTGCGGGCTCGGGTGAGCCCGGCGCTCGGGCTCCGGTATTTTTGGGGCGATGTAAACAGTTTTGAGTGCTCATTTGGAAAATAACGTCCCTTATTAAAGTGAGACGTTTTTACTGTTTGCGGTCTCTATTTACCAACTTACATCAGAAAACCTCTCGTAGCACCCAGGCGCGTCTTAGTCAAAATGCAGCTCTTGGTGCCTGGCGGCAAATTAAGCCCTGGCAAACCCAGATTGTGTTTATAGCTCAAATTTTTGGAGATGGGGAGGAAGCGTCTTTTCACTATCGGATCATGGCAGAATCAACTGCATTCTCAGCCGTGTGCCTGGCATTTAAGAGGCGTTGAATAACTGCCGAGGAAAGGAATGAATGGAAACTCTAGGCAACTTTCCTGCAACTTCCCATGTGACAGCACGTATTAATTTAATATATGTGGAATGGGAAACAAGCCTGGTCTTGGTGTTTTGAGCTTTGGGTTCTATTCCTTCTACTACATAGCTCTTCCCTTTGAATCAACCATTTAACTCACTGACCTGATCTGGCTGGGTAGAGCTTGGCCTGGTCTGGCTGGGTAGAGCTAGCGTTCTTCCCATACAACAAGGTTACTGGTCCCATCTTTGGTCAGGGCTCCCACAAGAATCAACCGATGAAAGCAAAAGTAAATGGAACAACAAAACCATGTTTTTCTCTTTCCCCTTCCCTACCTCTCTCCTTTCCTTTATCTAAATAAATAAAAAATAAAGACAAGAAAATATAGAGGCTCTTCCACGTTTAGTATTTTGTTTTCATTACTCAGGCATTTATGCTGACATTCTGACCACTTCTGACAGTACCCTTAGGGAAACTTTTAGGTGTCTCTGAAAGAGTTGTTCCCCTCTGCTCTCCTTAATTTTTTAAATTGTGTTCTTTTCCTATTTTAATATTTGTCTTATGCAGATTTCCCTGTGCCCTTCTCCTGATTTTCTTTTTCTTCTTTTTTTTATATACAAGCAAAGATTATTTAGAAAGTCACAGAGGTAGAAGAAGTGAGCTGTAGAAGAAACAAATGGCTTCAGGAAATAAGTCCCAAAGGCAAAAGAAGGGCCCTTGGAGCTTAGGAGAGAGAGGCAAGAAGAATGCCCTGGGTGAAGCGGGTGGGGGAAGGCTTCATATGGACGTGCTCCATAGAGAGAGCCGCCTTTCAGATTTTCACTTGCTCTAGTTTAGTGCCTTCTCACTTAGCAACATCACAGAAACCTCCAAGTTATTGATTTGACTATGCTCAGATGCCCACAGGGGTAAGACAGCTTGGTAGACTGGAAAATCTCAAGCCACTAAGAACAGGAATGTTCTGTACTATCACTTCCACAAGAAAGCAATGAGTGCCATGTGTGATTTTTGCCTGATAGTGATGGGGAAGATAAGTGTATATTCCTCTATAGAGACCATTGTAAGAAGGTGTTCTTATGTTCATTGAATAGGTGGTTATAGAGCAGCTGTTAAGGGCCAGTCTCTGTGTGATGCAGACATGAAAAAGGTTAATGTGGTTTCTTCCCTCATGGTGACTACTGCCATGAAGTAAGCGTGGGGCATGCAGACAATAAATAAGGATAAGTTATAGGTTATGTTATATAGTGCTTTATAAAGGAAGTAAACAGGGTCCTATGATATTTCCAGAATACCCGTTTTAGGAGTGAAGTATTGACCTCTAAGAGGAGATGAGGAGCCTACCTACTGAGATGCGCAGGGGGAATAGTACTCCAGGCAGAGTGAGCTTGAGGTGGAAAAGAGTCGTGCTTGTTCCAGGAACAAGCGTGTGACTGTGGCTGCAGAGCTTCAGCAATTGGTAAAGATGATTGGAAAGGTAGGGGGTGTCAGTCCTGTAGGGCACTTTCGAAGGCAATGGTAAAAAATATGACTCGGTTCTATGTGGAGGGTGGGAAATCATTGAATGGTTTTTAAGCATTTTCTGAATATTTTGGATTGGCATGTGGAGAATGGGTTGAAGGGGCAAGAGTGGAAGAAGGGGCGTCAGTTAAAAGGCCATTACAGTAGTCCAACTGAGAGATATTGGGGACTACAGACTCACTGAGATTTAAGATACATTTTGGAGGAGAAATTTATTTGACTTACTGGTACACAGGATGTGGGAGATGAAAGGAAAAAAGATTTGCAAGGCTTTTTTCATAGCGAATGAAACTTAGGAGGATGATGGATGTGTTCGTTATTTTGGTTGTGGAGATGTATATACATATGTCAAAACTTTCCAAATTTGTACACTTTTAAAGTTTTTTTTTTTTAGATTTTATTTATTTTTAGAAAGGGGAAGGGAGGGAGAGAAACATCAGTGTGTGGTTGCCTCTCATGTGCCCCCACTGGGGACCCAGCCTGCAACGCAGGCCTGTGCCATGACTGGGAATTGAGCCAGTGATCCTTTGGTTCCCAGGCGGGTGCTCAATCCACTGAACCACACCAGCGGGAGCCAAATTTGTACACTTTAAGCATGTATAGTTTGTTGCATGTCAGTTATAGCTCAGTGAAGCTGTTAAAATTTTTCAAAGGTTCTGGCTTAGCAAAAAATTACCCATCTTAAATGGATGGTGGTGCCATTTACTGAGATGGGATAAAGTGCTTAAAACCATGGAAATGGATGAAGTTTTGGTTCATCCAACTAAACAAATCCTATCTAACAAATCCTATGACATGCCATAAGGAAGACTTGGAAAATGGAGATGGAGCTATGGTCCCTAGGAACATTGGTCTTTGAGCTGGAGTTTGCATACCCCTGGGAGTACGCCTGGTGTAGATAGTTTTTAGGAATAATTTCTAGGTTGTTAGCTTCTATATATATTCTTGCTTAAACTGATCTGCTTGAAATTGGCCTGTGTGTTCATGAATATCTCCTTTCTCACCTCCCTTTTCAAAATCGTACTTTCGTTCCCACTTGTTTATATCCTACTCAGCTTTCTATGGTAACTGCCTCTGGACTGTCCGAAATGGGCACTTTGAAATATTTTTTTCAGAGGAGTCTTCCTTAATGAGTAATCACAATTTTATGAGCTTGCCAAGTTTTTGCCTAACCCCATTTTAAACATATTTATGTTAATGCTGAAGTGTGGAGCTAGAATTGGGGCACAGTGGTCTATGTGGGGATGTTCTGAATTCAGGTGTATCGTAGAAGGGGGTGGTGGCGGTGGCTGTTTGGCTGTCTGGTTGGCTGTTTGTTGGGGTGTACCTTCAGGCTTTTATTCTTGGGCTGGTAAGAACCTGCAGAGAAGACCCTTTCTGTTCTCTTCCCTAGAGGCTGAGGATCTTCCAGGCAGCTCTCTGGGAGCTCACTGGGAGGGGAGGCGGAGGATGGGGATGAGGCGGTAGGAGCAGGAGTTCTCTACGGTTAGCATTGCATCTGTGTGGTACCCGTGCCCCCAAACTGTCCTTGGTGTGCTCTAGTCTAGAGACTGTCATACCGTCTTCAGAGGCTAAGCCTCCGGAGCACGAAGCAGAGTAGGGCATTTAGAGATAGTGCTTCGCCTCAGACAGCTTCCACCCAGTCTTAGTCCCTTTACCCTTAGTTTCAAGGTATCAGGTACTGCTTCCTGAGATATAATTGTTTTTAAGGATGCAGCAGAGTAAGTTCGTTTGGTTTTGAATGGCTCCCACTGCTGACTTGGGATTTTAATATTTACATAGTGAAATCTGTTTATCTTTTTTGGCTCTGGGAATTGAATCATGCTTTGGAAAACCTTCATTCTCCCACCTCCACTCAAAATCATGACAATCGTCTTTATTTTTTGTAGTAATTTGTATTTTATTTTGTACATTTAGAATTATTAGTCAGCGTGGAAAATATTTCTGTTCATGGTCTGGTGGTAGGAATTAAACACTTGCTTGCCTTCAGAGTGGTAGCTGGGTGTCTTAGTACCACTTACTGAATCATTCATTTCTGCCCTGGTTTGAACTGCCAGCCATCACACATTAACTTGCTCTGTTTTTGTTTTATTGTTGTGAAATACACACAACAAAGGCATCACAAGTTACCTGCTCATTATGATCAGTATCTGGAAGCACTCATTTCAGGAGGAAGGCCCTGTATAAACATAAAATCGCAAAAAGGGGGTGAAGGAAAAGATGTAAGTTCATTTTCTCCACTTCCCAGAGACTTTTCCTTTTGTTCTCCTGGTTCCTTTTGGGCACTCTCCTGCCAGTGCCTCTGTCTGGACTGAGCTGAGCTGTGGCAGCTGGGAGAACATGCTCCCTTTTGTGACAACCCTTTGCAAGTATTTCTCCTCTGAGTGGAAGGTAGAACCAGAGGCATTATAACATGTGTGTGGTTTAGGAACTTGTTAAAGGGTTGTATTTATGTCAGATCTAATATAGTTTTTGTGGTTTGACATACACTGTTTAGGTAATTTATTAGCAAAAGTAAATCTATTTCCTGTATCATACGATGTCTGGTTATTTGTCTTAATTTTTTTAGAGCTACGCCTTTGAATTTGGTAAATATTTAGTGGCTTCAGTGATTGTTATTTAACTCTTGGGGTTTTTTGTTTGTTTGTTTTTGTTTTTAGATTTTATTTATTTGTCTTTAGAGGGGAAGAGAAGGAGAGAGAGAGAGAAATATCAATGTATGTTTGCCTCTCGTGTGTCCCCTGCTGGGAACTGGCCTGCAACCCAGGCATGTGCCCTGACTGGGAATCGAACTGCGATCCGTTGGTTCGCAGGCCTGTGCTCAATCCACTGAGCTACACCAGCTAGGGCACTATCGGGTTTTTTTTATTATAAGGGAGTGGATTATCTTGTTTTAGGAATAACGTGACTGCTTATTCAGTCAGTCAGCATTGTTAGTCAACTTTATAGGTAGACTGTCAGAAGAAAATATACTGTAAGAAGTTATAGAAGAGGGAAAATATTTCTTTTTTATTTTAAACCTAGTTTGTGAAATACTGGTGGCTTTATTTTTATTTTTTTAAAGATTTTATTTATTTTTAGAGAGAGGGGAAGGGTGGGAGAAAGAGAGGGAGAGAAACATCAATGTGTGGTTGCCTCAGGTATGCCCCCTATCAGAGACCTGGCCTGCAAGCCAGGCATGTGCCCTGACTGGGAATCAAAGCAGCAGCCGTTTGGTTCACAGGCCAGCACTCAATCTACTGAGCCATACCACCCGGGGCCGGTGGCGTTGTATTTAAAAAATATGTATATTGAATTTAAAGAGACTGGAAAGGAGGGAGAGAGACAGAAAGAGAGAGAGAGAGAGAAACATCGATGTGAGAGAGAAGAATCTACTGGTTGCCTTCCATATGTGCCCTGACCAGGAATTGAACCCCTAACCTTTTTAGTATACAAGGTGATGCTCCAGCCAACCAACCCATGCCGGCCAGGGTGGAAAATATTTCTTATATAGTGTAATATAGTTTATAGTTTAATAAAGAACTTTATAATTTGGTGCCTGATAAACCATCAAAAACAGTTTACTCCTGGATATAATCCTGAAAAACTGAATTGTCACCCTCTAGGAGCTTACATCTTACCAAAGATGGCTCATACTGGTCCGGCTTTTGAAACCATTGTTAAGGGTGTTAGCTGCTCTTATAATTGGCACCCACATAAGAGGGGAAACCAGTGTTTGGGCTTGTGAGTGGCCCTCTTTTTTCCCCCCACTGATGGCATTTTCTAGCAGCAGAGCCGTTGGGGTTTTAGTTTTGCATGGAACCTCATTCTGTAGACAAAATAAACCATCAGTCATTCAAGTGATTCAAGTCATGCTGATTTCATGTTCCATTTCTTCCAGATGTCATCATTGCCAAGAAGAGCAAAAGTAAAGGTCCAGCCTGCAGAACCCCAGGATGGATTTTCTTCCCTCTCTGAGCTGTAAGCATATACACATACATATTTTTTAATGGGGGTGGGAGAGTGACAGGTATTTTAGGGAGTTAATGCATTCTTTCACTGACTTTATTTCGATTGAAGAAGGCTATGTCTTTCCATCATTCATGCAGCAGATACTTACTGAGCTCATGCTGTGTCCCAGTTCTGTTCAGGTGTTGGTACTGATGAACAAGGAGAAAGTGATGAACTAAAAATACAACAGTATTTACATAAGCTCCATGAGAGCAGGGAGTTTTTTCATACAGGGTGGGGCAAAAGTAGGTTTATAATTGTGAGTATGTGAAGCATTGAGTTTATTCTTGTATGATTAACTTTTTATTGTATTTTCCATATGAACAACTGTTAACCTACTTTTGCCACACTTTATATTGCTTTAGAGCAAGGTTTCTCAATCTGAATACTATTGAGTGGATAATCTGCCAGGGGGCGGGGGTGCTGTCCTTTGCAATGTAGGATATTTAGCAGTATCTGTTGTATCTACCTACTGGACGCCGATAGTGTCCTCCCGTCTCCCTCCCAGCACCACCGCCCGCCGTGACAATCAAAAGTGAAGAAGCATAAAGCAGGGCAAGGAAGGATCAGTGCTAGGCAGTAACAGTCCTGCAAAGAAGCGTAAAGCAGGAGAAGGGGTAGAGAGCACGGCGAGTGGTTGTCCTGGGAGGGCGTTTTGGATACAGTGTTGGGAAACTTCTTTCGGAGGCTTTGGCAGGAAATATATATGAGATTTGGGGCTGCAGCTTAGAGATCTGAGGAATGCTGAGAGAGGGTGTTCCAAGTTGAAGGAACAGCAAGTGCAAAGACGCTGAGGCAGGAATGAACTTGAAGTATTAGGAGAATAGCAAGACCAGTGTGGCCAGGCCAGAGTTACCAAGAGAGGGACTGGAAGTGAAATGATAGGTAATGGGCTGTGACAAGGTGTTGGGGTTTTATCTGAAGTGCGATGGGAAGCCACTGGCTGGTTTGGGGGAAGGGAGGTAACGTGATCCTGTTTATATTTGTAAGAGATCATTCTGGTTTCTTGATGGCGAACGGAATGTAGGGGTGCCGTAACAGAAGCAGGGAGATCAGTGAAAGAGATTATTATAGAAGCCTTGGGTGCTAGAGGAGAAAATGGTGAGAAGTGCTCTATTTTGGGATATACTTTAAAGATAGAGTGGGTGGGATGTGCTGATGGATTTGATTTGGGGTGTGAAGGAAAGACAGGAATCTGGTGACAGTGTGAAGATCAGGTGTGAGGGTGGTGAAATCAAGAGTTCTCTGTTGGACTTGGTAAGTTTGAGACAACTGCTAGAAATCAAATGAAAATGGACATACTTGAGCTCAGGTCAAGTTGAAGACATAAAAGATTCTTCTATATTCAGCTGTAGGATGAGATGAGGTCATCTATCTAGTAAAAGAGCGTAAAGAGCAGAGGGCTGAGGACTACGTCTTAGAGGGTCCCAACATTGAAAGGTTGGCCAGAGGAGGATGGGGAAGCCAAGGGGCTAAGGGGAAGCTGCCAGGGAAGTAGGGGAAAACCAGAGGGGCGGTGTTCCGGGGGGGGGGGGGAGGTGAGCTGCAAGGAGCAAGTGCCAGATGCTGCCGAGAGGTCAAGTTGCTTAGGAGTGTCTGCCTCATGTTTAATAAAGTAATACCTGTACTAAGTTTTTCTGCATAGTGACTGAAGTCACTTTTGTGCCCGTCATGTAATCTTTGCAATATCCCTATGCGGAATAAGGTGAGTAATTCCTGCTTGACAGATGATGAGATTGAAGAGGAAAGAAGTCATTCTGCTCACTTTGGTGAGAGCGTGAAGAGCAGAACCCTGATTTTCTGATTCCTTGGTTTTCTAAATCCCATTTCTTGAATTCCACTGTTACTGTGCTGTGCCAGTTTCATGATTTTCTGTGGGTTTTTTTGCTTACTTGTAGGCTTTAGTTAGCATCTACCTGTGAAGATAACTCAGTGGGAGACTCTCTGTGGCACAACTATGCTCTCCTAGAGCGTAATTTAGCTAAGTAGTCATCCAATCAGGTGGTTGCCCCTAGCAGAACTTAAACCATTCAGAAAGCCAGACATCTCAGTTCACCAGTCTCGCTGAAGGACGTGGTTGTCCTTCCCACCAATACTGACCTTTTACATTAGGGATGGAAGTACAATTGACGGGGTTGACAGGAGCGTGATGTTCCTTTACCACGATTCATACACTGCTTTTTCTCTGCTGTTGCTATGAGATTAATTCTTGGGTTGTTAGAAAGTACTGCAGCTGCGCCTATGCTGTCTAATAAGGAAACGGGTGCATTTTTCGAAAGGAACCAAAGGCTAAAACAGTTGGAAGGGTCTTGGTACTGGCTTTTTATGTAATTGAGGGTGTTTCCTAGGGCCATTTTCCACTTTTTAGGTTGGTTTGAATAACTTAATATAATTTAAATGAATTTGATTAGCGCTTAGGAAATTATTTAAGTGCTTTTCACTGGTAAAATGGAAAACCTCACAGTGACTTTGGTGTGACATGACCCAGTAAATTGCTTAAGGTAATAAATGATTTCCTGCGTCTTGAGTGCATGTGTATTTGTCTGCTAGGTGACAGGTGAATCGAGAGAGACTTGTGATTTACAGTACATCAGGGGGTGTTTTTACATTGGTCTCTGGTTAACTCTTCGGTTTAATTGTTAGTATCTGTTCATAGCCTGTGCTCACATGTCTCCATTTTACATTAAACACGTCTTACCTTATTCTTTTTAAGAATTGTTACATGGCTGTCTTTTTTTGCCTTTAGCATTTGGCTTTGGTTTTCCTAAAATTTTTTCCGGCCATTTATTCCTAGATCATCTGCCTCTGAAGACGATGACAAGGACGATAGTGCCTGGGAGCCCCCAAAGAAAGCCCCCAGGAACCCTAAGCAGCCTGTGCGCAAGGAGTCCAAACCGAAGAGGGTGCCCCGGGTGAGGAAGAGTCCTCTGCAGACCAGTGATGGCCCGGAAGGCGTGGCTGTTAAGGAGGTGTTGGTAGGTGTTAGCTGAATACAGGGACCCTGTTGCTGTCCTAATTAGCGATGTTACTTCCCCCTCATATATAGTAGGAAAAAGCAGATAGATGATAACGACTTCAGGACAGTGGTGTCCTCTGCCATGGGTTTTAATAGTATTTATCTTCTGATCCTCCGTGCTGGAGGAGAAGAAATATTTATCAGCTGGTGTATATGTGTACCTTGCCATAAGCACACTGTGTGTACTTCAACCTGGATTATAAAAAGGATTATACATTACAAAGAGAATTATGCATTTCCAAAACCATTCTCTGTGGTATTCCTTTAAGTGGCAGCTTCCCCAGTACATTTAAAATAATACTCTTAATGCACAGTGGATGCCTGACTTTCCAGGGACACATTTACTGTGTATAATAGGGCTTATTGTTAGACCTTGCTGTGCCCTTGGATAGGGCTTTGGAATTACTCTTTTCTCCTGCTATCCAGTACTTGTATTGCATAATCTTTGCATTCAAGCTTTTCACTGAACTCATTTTTTAGTGGGTGGGCTGGCTTTAGCTATAGATGAGAAAGGATTGACTTCCATTATCACTGGCAGAATTTGGAGGTTTTTCGATAAGCGTGGCATAGCTATTATTGTACTTGAGTAGACTGATTTCTTAACCCAGAAAATATCTCTTAGTTCATTGGTTTTTTGTGTAGAGCTTACAAACCCTTTGAGAATTTGATAAAAGTTAAGGACCTTCTGCAGTGAAGTAAGTACAGTGTACACATGTCCATCCTCTAAGTTTTAAAGTGCAGTTCGAGGTGGGTCCAGCTTAACAAGCCTTGTCATGGTCACTTGTTGATTTTACCAGTGATGCTTGGTATGTATACATTTTTCTCAAAACTGCTGAAGTTCACATGTTGATAACTCACTGAAAGCATGTGGGTCATGTCGTCAGATTTTATTTCCTTAGGTTTGGCATTTTGCTTTGGTGTAACCACCACTAAAGAAAATAATTGAACGCCCCATTTTGGGTAGAACTAGAATTAGTAGCCTTCTAATGGTTTTAAAATCCGTTTTTAGCAAACACCACAGGTAAAATTCATCATTATTCAGCCCCCCTCCCTCCAGGTTGCTGGCATTTACAAGCCTACTAGCCACTCTTCTTCATTCACTGAAGACTTTAGCTCCTGCTGCACAGACTCTGCCCGCCATCCCCTGTCACGATTGTCAGCGATTTCCCTGCCACTTGGGTGATCTAATACCGTGCTGTTCTTTGTTCTTTGATCTCATCTCTGGTGGCCGTTTTTTCTCCGCATTGACAGCCATCTGATGATTTCATCTCGAATCTTGTCATCACTGGACGTGGCACTATGTCCGACATTTCTTTTTAGCTGTTCCACCTGTGTGTCGCCAGCTCTGTGCTCCCAGCTCACTTGTTCAAGTGCTCCCACCGCCATGGTCTTGCACCCTGTGACACTTTCTCGTCAGCAGTTCTCAGTCTTAGCTGCACATTAGCTTCCCTTGGAGAACATGCCAGTTCCTAGACCCTGTTTCTAGACTGGTCAAATCTGGAAGGAATAGCGGGCTAGGCAGGAGCAGTGGTAGCGTATTTTCGCAGTTACGTATTTTCTCGGTTGCAAACACCGAGAACCACCACCCAACCCTTCGACGCCAGCACTCCATCACCGGCATTCAGCAGCTGTCTTTCCTGCCTTATCTACCCTGGATTCCATAATCTCTCCCTTAAATCACTTTTCATTAAACAGTTTCACTATTTTTGCCCTTCTTACCTTCAATGATACACACCTGATCAAACCCTGAGGCAGCCAGAAGCAGTCTTACCGATGACCTAATTTGGTCTTTTAGATTGTAATCTCAGAACTCACATATATAGTACACTCATTATTTTTTTCCCTAGCAGGTTTGTTTTTCCACTTTTTTCTCTTTTCTTAAACTTACTTGCATTTCTTTATTTTCTCTCTCAGCTGATGACATTGCCTTTTACAAGTTTGAGAATATATGAAGTTTCTCATTTTCATGACCAAGCTAGCTATGTTGTGTTCATCTTCTGCCCTACGACAGTGGAAGAAATGTCATTGCTCCCAGCAGGGGTTGGTCCTACTGCTTGGGCTTTAGATCCCACCTCCTGGTGCCTTCCAGTGAGAGGTCTGTGCTCCCTTGTCATCCCCTTTTTTCTGTCAGCATTTCTTCCATTGGCTCAATCGTTATACAGTATAAAAATGTTCCTATAGATCTAATTTTTAAGGAGCTTCCCCCTGACTCCATATTCCTTTTCAGTTATTGGTCAAGTTCACAGGACACAAGGCAAGGTTAAGGTTGAGGCCTGCCGACTGATTCGACTGGTAGAAACACAACAAGCCACTTTTTGGTTTAGACAGTTTCCTGCTTACAGAGATAGCAAAGAGGAAAATGGTCAGCATCTTCTACAAGTCTTGGATTTAGTCATAGGCTACATAATAACCATTTGTTGAGAGTGACTTTAAAAGCCCATGAAGGCAAAAGAAAATAAACTTCGATTATTCAGTCTGTCAAAGATTCAGGTTAACTATAAAAAGGAAGAATAGTGTGTCATGGAGGCTTATTAAACTTATTAAGCACTGAAGGAGCTATAGAATCCTAGAAGCTTCAGAAAAATGGAGAGATGTTTCCATATGTTTTTGATAGTATAGATCCATGTTTCTCAAAATTTTTGGTCTTTGGATGCCTTTACACTCTTGAAATTTATTGAGAACCCCAAAGAACTTTTACTTATGTAGATTATATCTATCAATATTTATTGTATTAGAAATTAATGAGATATTTAAAAATATTAATCTAAAAATGAAGGTGTTACATGTTGATACATATAACACTTTAATGAAAAATAAGTATTTTTTCAACACAAGAAAATAGTGAGGAGAACAATATTGTTTTACATTTTTGCAAATGCCTTTAACGTGTGACAGAAAATAACTGAACTGTTTAAAGAAAACCCTGCCTCCACACAGATATTTCCCTGGTTTTTGGGAAATGGAATATGGCTACTTGAAAATAGATTTTTCAAATAAATGTGGATATTCATATTCGATTCTTTACCAAAACTCAGTTAAGTGGTGGTTTCTTTGTTTTTTAAAATTTACTGATTTTTGTTGCCTTTGTGTTGCCCGTTCACTTTTGGAAACTAGTGAATGTGTTGTCAGGAAAGGCGTAAACTAAACACTTTGCAGCCCTTTCCTGCCCTTGAATTGATGTCTTTGGTGTAGGAGCTGCATATGTAACAGTGTAAAAAAAAAAAGAAAAAAATTTACTGATTTTTTGACAGAGAGAGAGAAAGGGGGATAGACACTCACATACATCGATCTGTTGTTCCACCTGTTTATGCATATTCATTAGTTACTTCCCCTGTGGGCCCTCACTCGGCGTTGAACCTGCAACCCGGACGTGTCAGGGCGGTGCTCCACCTGGCTGAGCTACCTGGCCTGGAGTAAGTGGTAGTTTCTTAAAGATTTGTCTTGTGGTGGTAGCTGGCACCACATTACTGAACTTTTTATACTGTTATATTAAAAGTCATTGGTCTGTTTTATTATATGAATCGATCTTTTACCTAAGCATAATTTTGTAATGTTACATATTGGTCATTGGGAAAATATTGGTGCACTGATTTATGCATATCTTCTAAACATTACTACCTTTCATCATGCAATGTCAGAAATTCACATTTGTTAATAACCCCACTGATTTCGTCACAGTGTTGGAAAACTGTCCAGCTCACGGAAGCAAATACAAATTTCTAATTTTCACTTTAAAGGCTAAATTTTATTATCGGCCCAAAGACAGGCATTTGTCCGAGGTGACAGTCTGACAGAAACCCACCTCTGATTAGCCACAGTTTGTCAGTCACTCTTCAAGTGAGGGGGTGCTCTATGGACAGAAGCTAGGCACTCACAGCTCAGCCGGCTGCCCCGGGGCGTCTCCTGGAGACGGCCGCTGCTGTCAGCACGCGTTGCGTGCAGCGGGGGTGCTTTCTGTGCACGGATTTCAGCTCACATTATCGAAAGGGTATGTTTTCAGGGGTCGATATTTTTAAAATTTATAGTTTTTCCTGCTGTACTGACATTGTTTTACTGCAAGTGCATGGTGGTGAAGGGAGCAGCGACTGTAATCGCAGCTGGGCGACGCTGCCCTGTGTTTTGCTACCATTGTTCTTGCTGAATCCTCGCACATTTCAACATTCGTGAAGAAGGCAAGTGGTGTCTCAGCATTATCGTGAATGTACCTTTGACCTCACAGACCCCCTGGAAGGGTCCCAGCGTCCCCTGCAGCTCTGTGAACAACACTGAGAAACAGTAGATAGATCTTGCCTGATGACTCCAGAGAAGATATCTTTAAGTATCTAATTTAAAATTATTGTCCTTTTTCCCCCTCTCACTTTAAATCTCTCACCTTTAGTCATTTTATTTTTTTCTTCATTTCTTCATCTACTTCTTTTCTCCCCATTAGGAGGGGGTCTCGGTGTGGTAATGGTGGTAATGATATTGATATCAGCAAATATTTTGTGCTGTGCTTATCACTAGCCAGGCAATATGCTAAACACTGTCCTTGATCGGACAGTCTTCCTTAATCCTCACGACAGCCCCTTGAGGCAGGTGCTGTTATTGTCCTGATTTTGGAGACAAGAAAGCCGAGGCAGGGGACATTAAGTGACTTGCTCATGGACCATAGATAGTAAGTGATAAAATTGGGTTTCTAAGTCAGGAACATGATTTTGTCAGCATTTCAGGAACTGATACATTTCTCACGGGCGTTTTTACGTCAGCGATGCTCCTAACAGTGATATATAAAACCAGAGTGTTGGTTTAATAATACTTTGGTCTAATCATAAGAACTTGGAATTATTATGACTAGCACTGTCTCTCCTTAGAGGCTGAAGTAGGGAATTAAATAGGAATCAGAAGTTTGCTCGATGACCATTGACTCAAGAGTCAGACAAACCCATTCACTTGGGTTCACCGAATGCCTGCTGTGGTCTGGGCACTGTGGTCCAGCACCCTGGCCGTCGCAGTGCCTGTTGAACGTTTTCACCGCCTGGATCTGAGGTCGTCTGTGTCCATGTGGCAGGAGGCTTGTCTTACCATTGGGACCAAAATACCCGGAATCTGCTGCTCAGCTCTGCTCTTCCTTGTACCTTACTCAGAGGCATGCAGATTGTACTTGCTTTTTACGGTGTTTTGCTCCTCTGTGGCTGACAACCCTCTGCGTGATTGACGCTTCTTTAACCAAGTCAGTTCATTTGATCAGGTTATCACCAACTGTGATGGAGTCATTCTATTTTTATCTCTCTGTTCTTGCCCATTATGTTTCAGCCGACTGTTATCCTCGGAGGTCTGTTGACTGTCTATCACTTCCCAGTTCAGGTGGTAGTGGGTGGGCATTAGGATGGGGCGCTCTTTACTGTAGTAGTTCCCAGTATTTTCAGTAGTCAGTAATTGTGAAAAAGTATTTGATACGAGAGAAAATTGAATTTTAACTGAATTTAGTGTGGGAGTTGTCCTTCTGTTGCGGTTTGTGCCATTTGCCTCGCTCAGGTAAATAGGGACAAGCTGGCTTGTGGAATGGTAAACTCCGCGTGGTCAGGGTCTGTGCCCCGTTTAGTGCCCAAATGAGTGCCAGGTCTCACTCCTTTCCACCCGAGGTGTCACTTGGGTGTGGGTGGCGGAGGGGGGTGGGAGCATGTGTCCAGTGGCCTCTGGACACGTAGGAAGTCCTGTTCCCACTCCTGTTAAAGGAAAATGCCTGACACTACCCTGCTGCCATACTTTCATCTGTCCTGTGTCCTTCTGCAGAACTTGGTGGAAGGTGTAGTCTGTTGGATTTTATCAGTGTGTGTTTTTCTTTTCTCTCTAAATGACTGATTTTTTGATGCAAGTTTTATTTATTTTTATTTATTATTATTATTTTAAAATATTTTCTTTATTTATTTTTTGAGAGAGGGGAAGGGAGGGAGAAAGAGAGGGAGAGAAACATCAATGTGTGGTTGCCTCTCATGTGTCCCCTGCCGGGAACTGGCCTGCAACCCAGGCATGTGCCCTGACTGGGAACCGAACCGCGATACTCTGGTTCGCAGGCCCGCGCTCAATCCACTGAGCTACGCCAGCCAGGGCTATTTATTTTTAAAACTAGATTTTTTTTGCCTATTCTCCCCTTTAATCCTCACCTCAGGATATGTTTATTAATTTTAGAGGGGAAGGAAGGGAGGGAGGGGGCGGAGGATGAGAGAGAGAGAGAGGGAAGGGAGACAGCAGCATTGAAATAGTGTTGCAATGTGGATCTGCTGCCCCGTGTGGTCCCCAACCGGAGACTGAACCTGCAGCCCTTCGGCGAATGGGACGACACTCCAACCAGCTGAGCCACCTGGCCAGGGCTTGGTTGCAAGTTTTAAATCTTAGTTTCTCTGGCATGTGTAGGCTTATCCTTTAGTTATTATTATTATTTTTAAATCATCACTGAGGACATGCTCATTGATTTCAGAGACAGAGAGAGAGAGTTGGGGGATGGCGGGAGGTGGGGGGGTGGGGGTAGAGAGAAACAGAAACATTGATTGGCTGCCTCCTGCACGTGCCCCAACTGGGGGTAGAACCTGCAGTCCTAGGTGTACGGGATGATGCTCTGACCGACTAAGCCGCCTGGCCCAAGCCCTTTACTTGTTTTTTAAAATTAAACTTTTTATTTGTAGATAATTTCACATGCAGTTATAAAAAATATACAGAGAGATATCTCGTGCCCTTTGTCCAGTTTCTCCCAATGGTAACATATCACAAAATCCAATAAAATAATCACAACGGGGATATCGATGTGATAAAATCCACTGATCTGGTTTAGAGTTCCCCAGTTTTATTTGTGTGCATTTATGTGTGTGTATCCTTAGTTCTGTGAAGTTTTATCATGTGTGTAGATTTGCGTATCTGTCACCGCAGGCACCTAGTGGTGCCCATTTATAGCCACACCCAGCTCCCTCCCCACCTCCCTCCCCCTTACCCGCTCCTTGCCCCCAATTTCTGACCTCTGGCAAACACTAATTTGTTCAGGAATGTTATATAATTCAGAACGTTTTTGAGATTGGCTTTTCCCCCCATCCGATCATATCCTTGGGATTCTTCCAGGTTGTTAAGTGAATAATTTGTTTCTTTTTTTTTTAAGATTTTATTTATTTATCTTTAGAGGGGAAGGGAAGGAGAAAGGGAGAGAAGTATCAATGTATGGTTGCCTCTCGTGTGTCCCCCGCCAGGAACTGGCCTGCAACCCAGGCATATGACCCTGACTGGGAATCAAACCATGATACTCTGGTTCGCAGGCCCGCGCTCAATACACTGAGCTACACCAGCCAGGGCCTGTTTCTTTTTATTGATGAGTAATATTCCATGGCAGTTCATTTTTATCTTCTAATTCTCATGTTTTCATTGTGGTTTGATAGAATAGTTCTGTGGCTGTGGCTGATGTTGCTTTGGAAGACAGAAAAAATAAATCAGTAACTGTGCAGACTCTGAAAACAGCAAGGACAAAACGGAAAAATTCAGCTCAATCATCTTCAGCTCCAAAGACCAAAAAGCTGAAAGTTGAAGAAACCAGCAAAGCCAGCGATGTCAAGAGTGAGAGTCACAGTCTAGAGACACCATCCACAAGCACCCCGTGGGAAGCGGCCTGCAAAAAGGAAGAAGATGCGGATGACTGTGCGTTCAGTCAGTCCCCGTTAAAGACCATGAAGACCGAAGCACCCCAGGGGCAGCCTGACAGGATTCTGGCAAATGCCAGCGATGCTGCAGAGGAGATGGAAATGAGCTGGGACATCGTGCAGGTGTGTGCAGCCTCCGCCTGTACTTTAAGGTGCCCAGGGGAACGAGAGTGTCCCTGACGGTCTCCGGAGATCAGCCACTTATTTCATCTTTAGTTTTGAAACTTAGTGTATTTTATACATTGACTTGTTTTGTTAGCCAGTTGATTATGATAATTCTTTAATAATTTTTATTTTTTTCCTTTCATTTTTGGCAGATCTTACACAGCAAGATTGAAATACTAATAAAACTTAATGCCTTTAGGGCTTTACTTTGAAAAATCTGCTTAGGTTTTGAGAAGAGTTACTGAAAGCGCATTTCATTTTTTTAATTCTCCAGACTGACTTCTCTCAGCTTTTCGGCTTACATGTACATTTTGCTGAAATTTGTAGACTTTTTAAAAAAGAATTAATAATTGTGAATATGTAGTACTAGATGTGCTGCAAATGTGTAGTACATGTACTGTATAGTACATCCATATAGTACATGCACCATATGTGTGTGATACAAAATTCAAAAGATACGGATCTTCGTATCCTAATTCTCATCCACCAGTTCTCATTCCTGAAAGTGAGGCATCTTTCCCATGCTTGTCAATCACTCTGTCAGTTCATATACGAGTAGTTGCCTGGTATTCTACTGTGTGGGCGCGTCATAACTTATTTACCAGTTTCCCACTGCACACTTAGATTTTGTCAGACTTTTAGTCTGCTGAAAACAATTCTTCCCAAAAAGTCACTATAAATATTTCTTTATCCAGAGGATTAAATATATCAGGATAAATTGCCATCGAAATGTTTATGTATTGTAAATATCAATAGATGTTGTCAAATTGCCTTCCTCGGAGGTTAAACTGTTATACTTTCTCACCAGCAGTGGTCGACAGTGTCTTTTCTTGTCACTCATGCCAGTGAAGTGAGTTACCCGTCCTTGGTCTTTGCAGTTAGTCTGAGCGATGCCAGTGCATCTCTCACTGAGCCCTGCAGAGTATAAATGACTGAGTGGCTTTAATTGGATTTTATCGACTTAGTGAGATGACTATTTTATGATTTTCAGTTTATATACATATTTTATGTAGTTTTTAATTATATTTTACTTTTTAACTACAGCAAGTCGTTTCTAAGTGACTGGAGAATATAATTTGATGGCTGCATTTTAAACTATACATTACAATATAGATGTTTAATTTGGGGGATTTTAAATCACTAAGTATACTGAATTTACAGGTTTTATCCGAGAGAACCAATATTGAACCTTGGGTTTGTGCCAACATCATTCGTCTCTTTAATGATGATAACACAATTCCCTTCATTGTACGTTATCGGAAAGAGCTCATTAATAACCTTGATGCTGATTATTTGAGAGAAGTCCAGCAGACTCTAGAGGAGCTACGGTAAGGAATGCGGGGAGAGGCGGGCCCAGTGTGAGGGGAAGGAGGGCAGGGGAACCAGTGAGGGGCAACCGTGAGGAAGTGAGTGACATTGTATTTCAAGAGTTTCAATGTTTTGGTCTTTTTGAAAAATGTTTTTAAAGATTTTATTTATTTTTAGAGAGAGGGGATGGGAGGGAGAAAGAGAGAGAGAGAAACATCCGTTGTCTGCCTCTTGCATGCCCTCACCTGGGGACCCGTTCCGTAACCCAGCCATGTGCCCTGACCGGGAGTCAAATTGGCAACTCTTCGCTTTGTGGGACAGTGTGAACCCAATCCATGGAGCAGCACCTGCCAGGGCTGTTTCTGGATATAGTCCTAATCTGACGGAGGAAGCCAGCTCTATTTTACTTATGTGAGGTGTCAGGGTCCCTCTGCTGGTATGTTCGTGCATTGCGTGGGCATGCGTCAGAAGGGTGGGTCGCACTGCGAGTGTGTGCCTGAGAGTTGTAGTGTCATCTTCTCTCCTGGAAATGATTCGTGTGACAGAATTAGGACTGGCAGCGGAAACTCAGAAAAATGCGATTTGGTCTCAGTCTTCAACAGCTTACACAAAACTGCTCTCTCAATACTACAGAGATGCTAAATGGAAAGTTCTTTGGCAGTAGAGAGGTTGGTAGGAAATGTGTATATTTTCTTTTTCTATTTTTTTTTGAGTGGATGGTGATTTTATAGTAGGGGATTGTAAATTGTGTATGGTTATAGAATGGAAAGTACCCTTTAAAAAGTTATGCCTATGGGCTTACTGTAATAACTCTGAAATACACATAGAGAAACTAGAAAGACTAAGACTATTATTCAGTGAAGTTAGGAAAACACTCTTCATTGTTCATGCATTTATTGCATTTGTCCTATATGCCAGGTGCCACGTTGTTGATGTGTGTGTTCTTCAAGTCTACAAAAAGAATCTGATTAGAACTGGATGTAATAGTACCAGTAAGCCATTCTAAAAGCATTGAGTTATTTTTACAAGCCTAATAAGCTTCCTGTGATTTGGGGGGACCATGCAGCTCACTAACTTTTCCACCATGTGGAGAGTTATATTTCGTTGAGAGCAAGATCGGTTACCAACTCAGGAGTATAAATGGCTAGCTAACCAAACAGTCCCAGATTTAAGTCTTCCAGGGCCAGGCTAGTATAATCAAATAGCGAGGGATAAGAACTGGAGGTCACAGTCCTGTCTCGGAGGGCCAGCCTCTACTCTTCTCTAGCAGATTGCTGGTACACAGTGTTATCTACCCAGTTTGACAGCTCTTTCTGTTCCGAAAAGAACCTGATAGTTAGTGTGGGTTTCTGTGTATAAAACTTTGGAGCCCAAGAGAGTCATCTGTGGACCACATCTGGAAGGCCAGTATTGCCATTTCTGTAGTAAGCTTTCTGTTTGGTTGAGTGCAAGGTAACGAAGAAAATCTGAGGGTTTGGGGATCTGAATTGTGAAGTGTCACAAACAAGCAAGGGTAGTTTATTAAAAAAAATTTAAACTATTCTACCAATATTTGGTTGTACTTACAGGTTTATTACTGTGATGATTATTATTATGTTCTTTTTCTATAAGAAAAACACTTCTGCAAGAGAGTTCCTTTCTTACAGTAGTGGAGGAATGCTTCTTGAAGTAACTGGGGACACTAACTGGGGCCTAGAAGGTCCTTTGATACCGGGCAGGGATTTCTTTGTGGTAAGGAGATAAGATCTCTTCTTTCTTAAGCTTTGCATTTTCTGTGTCTAGAGCATTGATTGGCTTGCAATCTGTTAATTGTTACCCATAAATGAGTAGGTCATTACCATTTAAGAAGTGATATAGCGAATAGAAAATATGAGTAAGTTTTATGCTAAAGATAAATATTGTTTAATAAATATGTTTATAATATGTGTATGTAAACATTAACATTTATGTGTATATAATTGAAACAGTTTATGAAACAACATTTATCTTTATAAACTGCACTCTCATATTTTCTATTTCATTTTTTTAAGTGGTAATGACCTACTTAGTTGGTTTCACTCCACACACACACACAGACACACACCCATATTCTCACATCCATGCACACACACACACTACGTTGCAAGGGGAGATATATTTCTTACTGAGAGGTTACGATTAAAAAAGTAAATTACGTAGCATGATTTTGGATAGTAAGAAGAGTTTTTTGTATTTTCTGTAAAGATGCACCGCCTTTGCCTCCCACGGGGGCCAGTGGGATAGCTGGTCTTCTGTCGGAGTGACTGGCAGGCCCCCACCCTGGGCTGCCAGGGCTGTACAAGGCTTGCAGGCTGCAGTCCAAGGACTGCATAGCCTCACCTTTCATTTGTAATCTTCTGCCTTTGGATTTTTGTTTCCATAATTAGATTAGATTTTTTCATCATTTTTAATAATTCATCATCTCTCTGATTTTGCCCCTCGTTTTAGCAATACCATCATTAGGCAGATCCTGTAAATAGGAACAGGTAATGAAATGGGATGAGAGGTGCTAAGTAGAGCAGTAGGACCGCATATTCACAGTGAAACATTATTATAAAGCGGTAGAACAACTGTGTCTTGTTCTCGCTCCTGTCTGTGCATTGATCCCTGGGATCAGCTGTTCTCCATGAAATCCTGGTTCTTTGTCATGGAAAATGGTACAGCCAAACCTCAGCCATTTTGTGCAGATATCTATGTGATCAGTCACCATATGATTCAGTTTTTGAACAAATCGCTTCTCAAACAGCCTTCTGGAACCAGGGTTCCACTGTATTTAGAAACTGATTATGAATGCCAGGTATACTCATCCTGAGTAGTGATACTCAACAGCAATGAGTACACGTGACACCCATAAGTTGGTGTCTAAGTACCATTCTCCTGATTCCCCCAGGACTGGGGTCCGGAGAGTAAAAGATGAGTCTAAAATAACTTGTTCCAGAGAATAAGGAAGTGCTTGAAAAATGATGGAGATATGGCAAAAGGACACAGAATCTAGCTTGAAGGAGTTACTTCCAGCCAAACAGAGAACAGTTTAAACATTAAAACAAATTATAGCAATGGGTTATAATCATTAAAAAAGTAAGAAATCATGAGTCCATAGTGATATAAATAAATTAATGAATACATTGAAAGTTTATTGAGGAATGGGATAATCAAAGTACCTCACCACAAAATACTTAATTTCAAAGGGAATACAGAATACCTGTATTATGGAGAAATCCACAGATACTACCTTGTCAGATGATTAAAGTTAATTAGTAATGGGACAAATATAAAGCATCTTGATACCTATTTGTCACACAAGAAGAGCGAGAACATGACTTCTTTGATATTCAGATTTATTATCCGAATCAAAGTGTGAGTAAGCATGAGAGAAATCCCAAATTTGGGACATTCTACACAGTAACTGGCCTGATTCACACCTTCTAAATTAAGGTGTTGAGGGGAAGGAGAGACTGAAATGTGGTGTCAGCTGGGAGAGCACTAGGTACCTGGCAATCTCACAACTCATGACTCTTACCGAATTCACTATGGATGTTATCGATACAGTGGGTGAAACTTAAATGAGATCTGAAATCTGAGGATTGGATGATAGTAACACCAGTATTAATGAACTGATTTTGATGGTTCTGTTGTTATGGATGGGAAGATTCTTGTTTCTAGAAAATGCACATTAAAATACTTGAAAGTAATGGCAACTTATTTCAAATGGTTCAGAGCAGGGGTGGGGGGGATGTTCTTTTTACTTGACCTGTAACTTTTCTGTAAGTCGGAGATAGCTTCAAAAGGAAGGTTTTGACGTGCAGGTCTTGTATATTACAAAAGTTTTTATTTTCAGGGCTGTTGCCAAGAAAGTTCGTAGTACAATCCAGAAAATCAAGAAGGAGGGAAAGATGTCTGAATGCCTGTTAAGAGCCTTGCTGGACTGTAAAACTTTTGAAGAACTAGAACACGTGGTAAGGAGCCCTTTTTATCTTTTAATGTAGACCTGATTATATTATGATTTAGGTCTGTTTATAGTTAAAGAAGACCTGGAGATAAAAAGCTGAACCATCAGCCATCATTATTGAATTCAACAAAAGATTTATTCTTCATTCAATCACTATCATGTGCATATTTGTGTTAGGCACTTGGGTTTATGAAAATGAGTAATATGTACCCCTTGCCTTCAAGGAATTCCCAGTCAAGCAGGGAACAAGGAGATGAGGTTATTGCAATGTGAAGCAGAAGGGAGAATCCTGAGCTGAAGGCCTAGTTATGAATGTCTTCAGCATGTCGTTGGTATTTGAAATTGTGAGAGTGGAAGATTTCACTCAAGGAGAGTTGGCGGGGTAGGCAGGTCGGGGTTGACCATTGAGGGACGCCCACTTTTGAAACGTGGGTGGGGGAAGGGGAGCCTAAGAAAGAGACTTGGGAAGAATAAGTAAAGCGGGAGGAGAATCAGATGACACCATGAAAGACCAGGAAGAGACGTTTTAGAAGGAGGTAACGATTAATCGTTTGGTGATTAAATGAGCAGAGAGGTTTGACAAGATACGAAGCAGAGAGGCTTGAGAAGATGCGAAGCTAAAAGGTATATTCCGGGATTAGGGGACCAGTGAGGGCCTTCCTGATATCACCTTCAGCAAGCCGTGTGGGAAGAGGAGCCGGAGGTCAGCAGGCCGAGGAGTGAACGTGTCTCAAGAAGTGGAGGCATTGAGTGTTGACAGCATTTAGAAGAGTTGGCTTCAGGCACTGGGTTTTTAGAATGACTGAATCCAAACAAAAACCCTAATTTTAAGTATATATAAAAGTGTCAAGAGTCAGATAAGGAGCAGCCACCTCTGTGCAGCCAGTATTATCCGGTTAGTACTGGTTCGTCCCCGGTGGCGGACAACGGGGCTGACGTAGGATGTCTTTAGCATTCTCACCACGTCATCTCATTTTGCGTCCTAATTTTAACTTTTGCTTTTTAAAACTGAACAATGTGGTGTGTTTTCTGACATTTCCTTTTTCTAGTCAGCTCCGTATAAAACGGGGAGCAAAGGCACCAAAGCCCAGAGAGCAAGGCAGCTGGGATTAGAGGATGCGGCCAGGACGCTGCTGGAGAATCCAGGGGTGCTCAACCTGCTGTCTTACGTGCGACCCGATGTGAAAGGTACCTGCTCCCCTTAAAGAGATGAGCCCTGTTTCTTTTTACGTTTGAAAATGTATGTTAGAATTTTTATTTAAGTAATACCTGTACAAAAAAATATGTAGCATGTAAAGAATGAGGAATTCTCACAAAATAAATCCCAATGTACCTCTTGCTTAGCCATTCAGTTTTCCTCTTTTGATAAAGTGCCTGTTCTAGACTTTTACCCATTTTTTATTGTGTTGTTTCTCTTTTTCCTATTAATTTATAAGCACTTTAAGGTATTCTTCTTCAGTTATCTGGGTTGCAGATTCTTCCTCCCAATTTATAACTTTTCACTTTCTGTATGCCGTATCTTGGTAAATAGAAGGTCTTAAGTAGTTATTGTAGTTAATATATGAATCTTCGCAACATATTGATCTTTACTTTTAAGATACTTGGTTTTTTTTCTTTTAAAAGAAATCCCTTTACATCCTAAGGTTATAAGGATGATAATGATTCTTCACATTATAAAGATTCTCATATTGTCTTCTAAAACTTTTATCCTGTTTCTCAAAATTTATTTAATTACAAAGTCGTATCTGTAGAAAGAATTTCAACAGCTCTGACCTACATGAAGTGTCCAGTGACGTCCGATGCTCACTCTCCTGCTCCCCAGGAGTGAAGGGTTTGTCTTCTCTTGGACGGTGTCTGCCTGTCCTTTTGTGTGGGCAGGCACAGGAGAGAGACAGGGAGGAAGGCGGAGCTTTTCTGAGAAAAACCCGAGGAAAGTGACAACTGATACATGTCAAGATGCATGGTTTTTATTGTCAAAAGGGGGGCCTGAGAGTGTGAGCTTGTTGAGGAAGAGTGGCCTTTTCGGGCGTGCTCCGAGGGGACTGACCCCTGCAGTCATTCCAGTCTCTTTCACCCGTTGTTCTGTGGGCTTGGAGCCGTGAGTACCCGTAGGGGGCAGTGTCTGACCACAAACGCAGAGTGTGCACGAAGCTGTAGGGAATCGCAGCAGGTGGTGACCTTGTTTTTAAGAAAGTAACTCAGTAAATTCGACTTTGCGACAAAAAAAAAATTGAGTATGTGTCTGTAAAACTACATATATCTTTTCATATACAAAACACACCTCAATGTCTGTTTTAAAGAAGACAATAATAAAAAGGAAATGCAAATTAGTATTATTTGAGTATAGAGATGGCTTGAAATGAGTAAAATTCAAGTTTAATTTTTTTAATGTGTATTTTTAGTTGGACTTTTAAATGGTTGCACCATTTAATAATTTAATAGTAGCTGACACTCTATAGCCATGTATTAAAATTGGCCCAGTCAGGATATGTTTTAATAAACTCCAATGTCGAAGCTTTTAGAATGTTAGATACATAAAGGTTTATTGCTTATTTTTTCTCTTGTGGTTGATTTCCTTCTATTTCTTACCTTCCGTGCTGCAGATTTTCCTCAGTGCACACTCACGCTGAGTTCCTACTGGGTAGGTTTGGTAACGGTATCGCTCTTCATCGTCGTGTGTGGTGATGCTTCTGGACTGCATGTGATGATGGGCACATGGTGGCTCTTCTGATGATGGGAACCATTCAGGGTCCGGCACAGTTACAGTGGTACTGACGTGTGTATCAGGACTTTCTGTTTGCTTTACTCCCTCTTTCTGATCACAAATGTAGAAGAATTATAATTAATTCCAAACAAGCTAGATAACTTCTACTTAAAGTTTGCCTGGAATGTTTGCTCCTTTTTTGGCCCCCTCATTTTTTATTTTTCTTAATCCTCACCCGAGGACATGCCTGCTGATTTTAGAGAGAGAGGAAGGAAGGGAGAGAGGTGGGCAGAGAGAAACATCAATGTGAGAGAGAAAAATCGATCAGTTGCCTCTCGCACTGTGTGCCCCAACAGAGGACTGAACCCACAACCCAGCATGTGCCATGAGCAGGAATCAAACCTGCAGCCCTTTGGTTTACAGGATGATGTTCCAACCAACTGAGCCACACTGGCTGGGGCCATCCCTTCATTCTTTATGCTACACAGATAGATACCCATAATCAGCCTCAATTTATTAATGTTCCTTTGTTTTGAAGATATTTCTCTGTTCCCTTTATATTAATGCCTTTTTTATAACTTCTCTAAAAACATCAAGAGAGTTGGAATTTGATCTTTTTTTTAAAAGAAAATTGTATTTTATTGTTTGTGCTGTTACAGTTTCCTTGCTCTTTCTCCCTTTGCCTGCCTCCACCCAGCCCCCGACCCCTGTCAGGCAATCTTGTCATCGCTGCCCCTTCCATGGTCCTGCACGTGTGCTCTTTGGCCAGTCCCTCCACCTTCCTTCACTGAGTCCGCCCTCCCCTCTGGCAGCCATCAGTCTGTTCCCGGTAACTGCTTCGGTTTCTGTTTTGTTTGTAGTACCATTTTTCTAAAGAAGCATTTTCATCCTTCTCATTCTTCAAGAAAGTTTTCAAGAAACCAGAGTTTCAGTGTCCTGGTTTTTTTACCCCAATAGAAGATACATACTAATTCTCGTACTTGCCACTGACCAACAAGAATTCAGTCTGAGTGAAAAAGATACTATGCCACGAATGGGTTACATCCTGGAAGATCCAGAATATTCCTGTGTTGTGTACAGGGGAGTAGCTTGATTGTTCTGTTGTGTTTAAGAAGAGGTGGCCTCAGTGCAGAGGAGGTAGAAAGAAGTGCTACCCTTCGATTTCTGTTACAGTTGTGGATGTTTGAAACACCTGCAGCTGGAAAGCCTTCACAAGGCAAAGGATATACTTTTCTGGTTCTTGGACTTTATTTTCTCCTGATTTCACAGAGGTGCTAAACTCTTAGAATTCTTCTTATCCTTCTTGTATTAAGCTCCTCTGATCAATTCTCTTTGATGGGGGAAGGTGCTTTTTCAAAACACACAAGAATCTTTTTAGTCCTTTCTCTTCCTAGTTGGACTGAACTGGGTGTGTAATTTGGACGAGAGTTTTGGATGTCTGATAATTTCTACTTCCTGTTGAGAACTACTGCTGTAGCAAAGGGCATCATCCCAGCAGTGTTTTTCTGTTTTTGATTATTTTCAATGACAGTTTACATTCGATACTATTTTGTACTAGTTTAGGTATACAGCGTAGTGGTTAGATGGTCATATGAGGTCTGTCCGGAAGGTAACCAGCCATGTAATATGAAAAATAGAGACATTTATTGAAGAAACTATAAGATACAAGAAACATTGTACCCAGGACAGTGATGCCTCAGTCCCCTTCGAAGTAGGCACCATGGGACCTCACACAGTTCTCCCAGTTGCGATCAGCTGCCCCGTCGTATTTTCCTGAATCTCATCAATGGTCTGAAATCTCTTGCCTTTCAAAGGTGATTTTAGTTTTGGGGAAAAGCCAAAGTTGCAGGGCACCAAATCCGGGCCACAGGGGGGGTGAGTAATTTGAATGGTTTGATGTTTCACCAAAAAACTACATGAGACATAATGCATGAGTAGGTGCATTGTTGTGCAGAAGCTGCCAATCACCAGTTACCCATACCTGCAGCCTTCTGAATCATATGAGTAGTTTCTGCAGAGGAATGTTCAAGCTTAACACAAAAACTGATTTAGATTCATTGCTCTACTTGCTCAGTTATTTTGAATGTGATGTCCACATAGTACTTGTGCTCAGTCAATGGCATCTACAGCCCTCACTGATTAGTACAGTGAAGTTGTCGTTGTTCATGCACGTGCATTCCAGTCCACTCTCCTTGGCTGCCAGGTTACGTCCATATCACACAAACTATTCTGATTATATTAACAGTGGTTGGACTTTCTCCGGACAGTTCTTATGTACTTTACAAAGTATTACCCCCTGGTATTTCCATCACCCAGTTTGCCCTAGCAGTGGGTTTTAACCTTTTAAAAAACAATTTATTTACCGATTGATTTTTTTAGAGAGGGAGGAAAGGAGGGAGAAAGGGAGAGAAACATCGATGTGAGAGAGCAATGTCAATCGTTGCCTCTCATACGTGCCTGACCGGGGACTGAACCCACAATCTATAGTCATACGCTCTGACAGGGAATGGAACTGGTAACCTTTCGCTTTGCAGGATGACACTCAACCAACTCAGTTACACCAGCCAGGGCTGGTTTTTTTAAAGTAATGAGTATCAGAATATCTGTGATAGTCTATAAAACAGGAAAAGGCCACAGTCTATGAAATAATTAATTAATTTTAATTCTCACCTGATGATAGATTTGTTGATTTAGAGAGTGAAGAAGAGGAGGGAGGGTGGGGGAGAAAGACAGACAGAGAGACAGGCAGAGAGACAGACATCGATGTGAGAGAGAAATGTCAGTCGGTTGCCTCCCATACGTGCCCCAGCCAAGGGACTGAACCTGCAGCCTTTAGATTGATGTACAGGACGGCGCTCCCACTGAGTCATCTGGCCAGGACTAAGAATTTCTGTTTTTAACAAGTACCTAGTGTAAATTTATTTTCGGATCCTTGGGCTGTACTTTACAAAGCATTGCTCTAGAGCTCTAGAATAATTTTAATTATATAGGTTTACGTATCGTGTTCCCCACTGATGGGGGTTTTCAAAGGCCTTTGTTATAATAGCCTCTTTCTAATACCCTCTTTCTTTTATCGTTTATTGTTTCTCATTGAGAGAGTAGTAATAGAAAGACTAGTGTAGTAGTAGTAGTAAATAGAGGAGCAGTGAGTTTGTGGGTTACATACTTTTTCTGACTTGTCACCATGGTGCTCTCATTAGACTTTGCACGATGATACTGTGAGATGCTTTGGAGCGCCAGGAATTAGTGCATAGTGAGTGGTTTTCCTTAACTGAGGACCGATTTAGCGAGACAGCTAACACGAGAGCAGACATTGATCGACTGCTTACTATGTGCCACCGCTGTTCCAAGTCTTTCATACACAGTCTTTCACTTTTCAAAGGTAATTTGTTCCTGAAAATGCCCTCATAGAGAAATTCTCTTGAAATATAAACAGAATTCTTATTAATTTCAATGGCCAAATTTTTTTCTTTAAATTTCCTTGAAATAAATGTAATTATGTCAATAGTTAAGAGTAGTTATAATGCAACCCAACAGGGCGTTTTCTCCTTGTTAATTACTCTGTAAGTCTGTCTTTGTCTCCGTTACTCATTAAAACTATACTTTCAGAAAAATACATGATACTCAGTGCTTATGTAATTTAAGCATTACTGCAGGAAAGAAAGCTTTAATGGAAACAGAACAATAAAGGAAAAAGAAATGAAAGAAAACAGTGAAAATGGTCTAGCTCAATGTATGAGTTATTGCAAGCGTCATAATGTACAAGACTTACTGCTATAAGTTAGCAAACTAAAAGAAAGCACTTGGAAGAATTTAACATACCATTGGTAGACAATTCAAATGTGAAGATGAGCATAATTCAAATGATGCTCATTCGTATTGGTAGACACCAAGTGTCACTGGTAGACAATTTAAATGTGAACATGAAACTTAATGAGTCTTGTTTCATGCTTATGCAATTTGAGGGATTCAAATGAGTCATTGAGAATATGAAGAAGTGCCTCATAAGCCAAAATAGGAATATTAAGAAACTTACTTTTTTAAAATTAATATAAGAACATGGTTTAAAAGCCAAGGAGAATTTTTGTAACTGGAATGAAAGTATGTCTTGGGATATGACTCAATTAATATATATTTTCCATAACATGCTTAATCTTTGTAAATACTTCATGAAGTAAGTGTTAGTCTACTTTTATCAGAAACTGAGGCACAGAGGGGTCAAGCGACTTGCCCAGAGTCGCACATTGGGTGAGCGGTGGAACAGGGAGTAGGGCGGAGAGCTGGTCCCAGCGCTGCACGTTCCACCACTTGGTTATGTGCTCTGTGAAGGTGCTGCTCTGTTCCTGCTTTTGGGGACTTGTTTTCGTTGGAGAGGGAAATTAGACACTGCTATGACACTTTTCTGTCCTGAGTCTGTCAATTTAAGGTTTTTATTTTGACTGGAATGAGTTTATTGTGATTTAATTTTAGACTTAAAAACCAATCTGCAGTTCTTGGTTTTGTTTTCCTTTTTATCCAAAGGGCTTTCGGCACTCCAGGACATTGAAACAGGGGTGCAGCATATTTTAGCAGACATGATTGCTAAAGACAGAGAAACACTTGACTTCATAAGGAAATTGTGAGTACCTCTTTGTAGATTTATGCTGTTACGGGCTGCATGGTTAGTGCCAAGACCAGTGTTCATTAACAACTTGATTTTCAGGCATTTTCTTAAGTAGCAGAACTCAATACAAACAACAGGACCCTAGTATATAACACAGGTACAAGTAAAGTTGCTGCCGTTGAATTCTGAGAAGGGAGCCTGGGACTGTGCCTGCTCATTCTCCTTGCACCTCAGCACCTCAGCGGAGAGCCCCGAGGAACACCGTTTAAAAGCCACTGAGTCACACAAAAGATGATGGAGAGAGATTCGTGTTCGTTTTGAGTTGGTGGCATTTTTAAAAAAACATTGTGATGTATGCACTTAATTTTATAATATCCCCTTTCTGGTGGTCCTGGTGATTAGGCTAATGAGAATATTTCATGTCAAGTATGGCTGAAAGTACTGATCTCAGAATGAATTTTAGCCAATGGAGAGCAGCTTGCCCACGGTATCAGTAGTCCCAGTGTGTAAGAGATTTTCAAAAACCTTTGACCTAGACCCTCCTTGGGGTTGTGGATTTCATGCCTCATTAACATAGATACTCATTTTAAACCGATTTTTAATGTTTTCTGCATCAGAAGAGAGGACAGAGCTTCGCTGGAGGCCTGCTCTTCCTCTCCTCCGAGGAAAGGTGGGCATGAGCCAGTTGACTGCTGCAGCTCGCCAGGGTTTCGTTCACTTGAGGGAGAGAGCTTTGCTGTTTTCTCAGTGGCCCTAGCCGCTGAAGAAAGTAGGAGAATTGCCCAGGTTTTTAAGTGTGTTTTTATAGGTAATTATACTGCAGAAATTTGGTTCAGTTTTATACATTGTCCTTGGAAGCTGTTCTGACACATTTTCTTGTTTCTCCTTTTTGTAGCTTTTAATTGGTTCTGACTGGCTTACTTGGTGGTTAGAGAAGGATGATGTCTAGGCTAGGGTTTCTGGTCTGATTCCTTTTAGATAGTTTGGTCTCTTATATGCAGACGGTATCTGCAGATGGTATCTGAGCTCATTTAGGCATTTTATGGGAGGGTTGAGTTGCTACACAAGTAGATGTGTAGGACCTATGGTAGCGTGAATAGGCAAAGAGTCCTTATAATGAGTCAATAACATTTTTATAATTGGACATTGTTTAAAGAAATTACATTCAGTAGTGGCTTATCATTTTTGTTAACCTATTCAATATATAATATGTTTCTTTACTACACATATTAATAACTACTTGTTTTTAAAAAATATTTGTGCATTTGAACAGGTGCCAAAATAGATATATTTCTATTCAGTCATCTTTGGCAAAAGTGTCTTCAAAAAAAGTAAATGAGAAAGATGTTGATAAGTTCCATCTCTACCAGAATTTTTCATGCAACCTAAGAAACATCCAGCATCATCAGGTAAGTGAGGAAGTCGCCTGGCGTGCTGGTGCTGGTGGGGTGATCATGACAACGCTCTGGTTTTCCCTGTTACTCTACTTACTAAGGAATTAAAGAATTTTAAGTCAACTATTTTCTTTTTTATTCATATAAATTTTTGTAATATTGTCATATTTTTCCACATAAATGGGGAACTGAAGACCCAGAGATGTTAGTAGGTGACTAAGAATTATTAGCATAGCTGACAATGTAACACCACAGGTGTCTTTGTGATGGTGACCTTTCTTATTAGACCCTGCTTACAAGTATGCTGGGATGTAAGCTGTATTCTGGGCCTTTTCCATGTGAGGTACAAATTAAGAGATACCTGGTTTAGAATAGAGTGTGAGAGATCTCACTTAACTGTATAAATCATAGTTATTATACCTCAGACTTTTAATTTCATTTCTAAGTTTACTAATTTTTTTCTGATTGTAGTGATAGGATGTATGTTCATTGTGGAATGTGGCTTTTAGGTCATATAGAAAAAAAAGATGTTCAAGTCCAAAGTATGACATTGACTCTTACATTCACCTATAGTAGCTACCTTTACTAGTGTTCTTTTTTGTGAGGGTTTGAGCTTCTGTCCAGTGCCTTGTCATTTTGGTCCGATGGACTTCGGTAACATTTCATGTAGGTCGGGTCTACTAGTGACAGACTCTGTCAGTGTTTGTTTATCTGGAAATTCCTAATTTCTCCTTATTTAAAATTTATCATTGTAAAGTACATAAAACATAGTTTACTATTTTAACAATTTTTAAGTGTGTAGGTCAAGTAATGTTAAGTGTATTCACATTGTTTTGCAAACAACCTGCAGAACTCTTTCATCTTGCAAGACTAAAGCTCTGTACTTACTAACAATCTCCTTTATTTTTGAAGGATAGGTTTTCTGGATATAGGTTTCTTAGTTGACTTTTCTTTTAGTACTTTGAGTGTGACATTCCATTGTCTTCGGCTTCCATGGTTTTTATGGAGAACTAGCTGTTTATTTTAATGAGCTTTTGCACATGATGATTTATGAGGTCTGTCTAGAAGGTACCAGCCATGTAATATGAAAAATAGACACATTTATTGAAGAATATACAAGATATAAGAAACATTGTACATAGGACAATGACACCTCAGTCCCCTCCCAAGTAGGGAGGGGACTGTTCTCCTAATTGCCATCAGTTGCCCAGTCGTATTTTCCTGAATCTCATCGATAGTCTGAAATCTCTTCCCTTTCAAAGGTTATTTTAGTTTTGGAAAAAACCAGAAGCAGTAGCATGCCAAATCTGGGCACCAAATCACCTGGGTGATTTGATGTCTTTTTAAAAAACTCAGTATGAAATATGAAGCATGAGCAGGTGCATTGTTGTGATGAAGCTGCCAATCATCAGTTACCTATAGCGACAGCCTTCTAAATCATCCAAATAGTTTCCACAGAGGAATGTTCAAGCTTAAAATCTAATGTAGATTTGTTGTTCTGCATGCTCAGTCATTTTGAGTGTGACAGCCACACAGTATATATGGTCAGTGAAGTGTGTCTACTGTCCTCATTGACTAGTACAGTGAAGTCATCATTGTTCACGCATGCACATTCCAGTCCACTCTCCTTGGCTGCCAGGTCACATCGATGTTGCACAAACTGTTTGTATTTTAACAGTGGCTGGACTTTTTCTGGGCAGACCTGATGTACATTTCTCACTTTATTCAAGATTCTCTGGCTTTGGCTTTTGACAGTTTGATTTTGATGTATCTAGCTGTGGATGTCTTTGAGTTTATCTTGGAATTCATTGCAATTCTTGGATTGCAAGGTCATGTTTTTCATCAAAATTGAAAATTTTTTTTCGCCATTGTTTCTTCAAATATTTTTCCTGTTCCTTTCTCTTCTTGTCTGGTTCTTCCACTGTATGTGTGGTTGATTGTGTCCCACAGGTCTCTTAGGCTCTATTCATGTCCTTTTTTTTCCCCTAGATTCTTCCTCAGTTGACTAGTCTTGAAGTTTGCTGACTCTTTTTTCTGCTTGTTCCAGTTTGATATTGAACCTCTAGCAGGCGTGTCCAACCTTTGACACCTCTGGGTCACACTGGAAGAAGAAGAGTTGCCTTGGGCCACACATTTAATAAATTGCAATACATAATCACAAAATCACAAAAAAGTCTCATAATGTTTTAAGTAAATTTACGATTTTGTACTGGGCTTCATTCCTAGCCATCCCGGGCTGCCTGTGGCCCATGGGCTGCAGGTTGGATACCCCTGGGAGTGAATATTTTCTCTGTCATTGTATTTTTCAGCTCCAGAATTCCTGTTGTTTTTATTTTTATAATTTCCAACTCTTTATTGATATTCTATATTTGTTGAGGCAGTGTTCTCCTGGATCCCTTTATATTTCTGTCTATGATTTTCTTTAATCTGAGTTTATGTAAGACCGTTGGTGTGAAGTGTGTCTAATAAGTCCAATTCTGCTTCCTCCAGGACAGATTCCCTTCATTTTGTTTTTTTCCTGCAAGTGGGTTATACTTTCTTATCTCTTTGCATATCTTGTAAACTTTTTTGTTAAAAAATGAGCATTTTAAATGTTGTAAGTTGGTACTACTGAGAATCAATTTTTTCCCCTTTTTAGGGTTTGTTGTTGCTGTTGTGAGTTTGTTAATTCTAAACTGTTTTTGCAAAGTCTGTATCCTTGTGTTTGACCACTGAAGTCTCTGTTCCTTTAGCTTAGCGGAGATGTACTTCCTTGACAGAGATTCCCCTAATGCCTGGAGCCCAAACAAAAACCAAACTTTCCCAGTCCTTGCAGATCAGATCTTCCTTGGGGCCCTCTGAGTGCTTAGTGGGCTGTTTGCTACTCTGCCTTAGCCTTTACTTCCTCTTTGCCTGGGGCCCAAAGGTCAGTCAGAGGTGAAAGCCTAAGATCTGCTCAGGTGTTTTCAGAGCAGGCGTATAGTCCTGAGCATACATGTGGCCTTGCAGATTTCCTGATATATGCAGGAACTTTACAAAACCCCTTTGCCCTCAAATATTTTTTGTTTCCTAGCCTCTTCCTTCCCAGGCTTTTTGATTGCTCTCTCTGTAATTCCTTATTTCTAACTGTTGTTTATTAATTGAAACTGCAGCTCATATGTTTGCTTCTAAATACTTTTAAGAAATGCAGCCCAGGAAGCTGCTGTTGTCCCAGGGAAACCCTGATACAGGCAAAACAGAGGCAAGCTCTGGAGCTGGTCTGCAGGGAACCCCCATACAGAGTGAAACACACATTTTTGGTAAATAAATGAATAACAAGTGGGTATAGCTCTAGGTTGAGTGACCATCTGATTTGTTTTATAAATGTTGACTGAGTAAATTGATCATATGTATATTTTGTGGATTATTGACTTTGCCATATATGCTTGTACTCAGATTCTGGCAATTAACCGTGGAGAAAATTTGAAGATACTGACAGTCAAGGTCAACATTCCTGATGGAGTTAAGAATGAATTCTGTAGGTGGTGCATCCAAAACAGGTATGTTTATAGACTTTTATAGAATTTCCTTTCTCTTGTTTCTAAGACACCGTACTGAGATCTATATCTTCTAACATGGAAAGATGTCCATTATGTAAAAAAAAAAAAGAAAGAAACGAACAATGACACACAGCAGAAACAGTATCTTTTTAAATTGGAAACAACTAGGATGGACTTTAATACTTTTTCTGTAAAGAGCATATTTGTTCTTCTGAAAAAATAAGTTAACAAATGTATACTATATATAATATCAGAAATCTTTTGTTAAGGATAATTGAAACATTTTTCAATTTAATTCTTTAAGCATGCTGTATATAGTTTACCTAAAATATTTTACACATTAAGGATGATTGAGACAAACATTAAATTTATTGGATATTAAGAAATTTCCAGTGTTATGTAACTTTTTATTATGCTTTCTTGTTTGTTAAGGGAACCTTTAAAAATAGCACCACATGATTGTATAGCATTTTTCACTTTCAGTCTTAGTTTTTAGAATATATTTGATCCTCACAAGAGACGCGTTGGGTGGTAGAGCAGATTTGTAGCTGCCATGCGACAAAAGAGAAAACGGATGCAGAGTTAAAGTGGGTTGCCTAGCAGTAAGGAGACGTGGGTGTTCGGGATGCTCATCACTCGCTAGTTCTGAGTGACCTTGGGTTAGAGAGGTTGCTGGGAACGCTGTCTGAGCAGTTGGATGGACCGTGCTGAGAGGGAGAAGTGCTGCGCACCTCTGGGATGAGCTGTCTCACCCAACGTGGTTCCTGTGTCAGTTCAGCGGAAGCCAGTTTGCCAAACCAATTTCTTGAATGAGCAATTGACTGAGTGGTGAAACCAAAGACCTGTCAAGTAAAGCAAACATTTAAATGTTAATCACTAGGTTAATTGCTTAAGCCAGTTATGTTTTAATCTATACAATGGAATTCTGTGCAGTCATTTTGAAAAATTTGAGATAGAGCTAAAGGTGAGAGATATACATGTCATTAGGTTAAAAGGACAATTATAATTTATATTTGTAGTATTATCTCATTAATGGCAAAAATATTTCTATATTAGTGTAGAAAAATATCTGAAAACATATAAGGGTCTACTCCTTAGCTCTGTGTGAGATTTAATTGTCTATTTTATACTCTTTTGGGTAGTTGTCATTTTTTAATCAATGCTTATTTCCTTTATAAATAAATAAGTTCCATTAAAAAGTAATAAAGAAATAAATACCTAAATGAAATCCTAGGTTTAAAAAACTGTGTTAAAAATTAGATAATTTTAATTTAAGATCTGATGAAAGTAAGACAGTTTCATGCAAAGAGCAAAACCTTGAGTGGCTGCATCCGCATCTGCACTCCGGTTGCGTCGCTTCCCACCATGGTGACTGTGAGCGTGTTGCCTAATATTTCTTCTCAGTGTCGTTATCTTTAAAACGGCGAGTAATTTCATTCTCACAGATTTGAGGATGTTAAATGATATTCCATGGAATTGTGTAGCTTTTGATGGTATCTATTATTACAGTGATCTATTGTGCTAATTTTCTTTTTAGAAATGTTTTTTATGAGAAAAACTTCTGCTCATTTCCTACAAATATTTGTAATACTCAGTATGAGGGTTTGTCTTCAGTAGTTAAGGAATTATACTTTTAATTTGTTATCTTTATAATAAATAAATGTCAAGAAATGGTTTTCCTTGCAATAATTTAGTTGTTTTTTCTTAGCCCGTCTCTATTTTATTTTATTCTCCAATTGAATAATTGGTAATAATATTGAACCTATACTGTAATACTTTATATCACTGTGGTATAGTGATATAATTTTCAGTTGTATTCTAGAAGTTTCTCTCATTCCAATTGAAGAAACACTTCTGTGGAAACTAAAGAACTGAAACAGCGCTAGCTAGAATACTTTTTCCAGACTAAAGAACTATTATCAAGTTATTATTTTCCTTTCTTTAAACACATTGGAATGACTGAAGATGGGTGCTTGAAAATCCTTTTCAAGATTTTATTTATTTATATGCAGAGAGGAGGTAAGGGAGAGAGAAACACTGATGTGTACGAGAAACGTCAGTAGGTTGCCTCTCATGTGCCCCTAACTGGGGACCTGGCCTGTGACCCGGGAATGCGCCCTGACCAGGAATGAAACTTGCAACCTTTTCCTTTGTGGGATGACACCCAAACCACTGAGCCAAACCAGTCAGGGCTCCTTTTTTTTAAACAAGGAAAACCCTCACCCATGGAAATGTTTATTGATCTTGAGAGAGAGACACAGAGAAACATCGGTTGCCTCCCATACACACCCTGACAAGGGATTGAACTGGCAACACAGGTATGTGCCCTGGTGGAGAATTAAACCTGCAGCCTTTTTGGTATAGCGGATGACGCTCCAACCGTCTGAGCCACTTGGCCAGGGCTCCTAGTCCTTTTTTTTTAAACTCTCTTTGTTCCTCTTCTTCCACCTTTCCCTTGTACTTACCATTCAGGTTATGTGCTAGATGTTGGGGATCCACCCGTAAATCAGCTAAATATACTGACCATCTTTGGTGACAGTGTACTTTAATGAAAAAGACATTGAACGAATGGTTAGGCGTATGTAAGCTGAGGTCAGAAAGGAGAACTGCATTGTGTCATAAGGGTTTGCAACAGGGAGCCTTAACAACTGGGTGCCTGTGTAGGTCAGAGACAGGAGGGGGAGGAAGCAACAGGAAGTTAGGATTGAGATGTAGGCTCGGGCCAAATCGTATCTAGCTTTCTTCGTCATGTTAAGGATTTTTTTCTTTACCTCAAAGGTGATAGAAAGCCAGTTAAGGGTTTAAACAGAGGTGTGTCATGATCAGTTTGAGTTTTAAAAGATCATTATGGTTGCAGCATGAGGACAGTTTGGAAGGAATGTGGGGTGAGGGATGATGGTGGCTGGGACTGGACGGTAGCAGTGGGAAACAGGTGAACTGTGAGTGGGCATAAGGAAGGCATCCTGGAGTCTCAAGTAGACCCTCAGCGCTCTGTTCCCGGGAGGGGAGCAGAGCAGTCACCCCAGAGAAGGGCCTTGAGGTTTAAGGAGGACTACTGGGGCTTCCAGAGAGATTGGGTAGGTAGCATGAATGGTTTCTGGTTTCCTCCTACATGCAATGGGGAGATCTTCATCTGGCCGTGAAGAGAATGACCCCAGCAGACATCAGATACATTTGTAAAATACCACCCCATTAGGGTCTTCTATCTTCCTAGCACATTGTCCCATGACCCAGGACTGTTACTCTCTTTCCTAACTGCCAAGCTACCTGGCATGGTGTATACAACTTTTAATGATCTGCTATGTTTTCTAGCTTATCTGTCTGAACCACCCCCTGTCCCTTGAACTCTGATATTTTATACCCTTGCAGTACTAATGCACTTGCAGTTACTTATCATTCTCTTTCATGTCACTGAACATAAGTCATGGTTTCTTCCCAGAATACTTTTATTTCTTTGTCTTGCTTGCTAAATCATGATTTTAAAAAAAGATTGTATTTCTTTAATTTTAGACAGAGAGGGAGAGAGGGAGCGGAACATCAATGTGTGGGGGTGCCTCTCACACGCCCCCTACTGGGGACCTGGCCTGAAACCTAGGCATGTGCCCTGACTGAGAATCGAACCTGTGGCCCTTTAGTTCACAGGCCAGCATTCAATCCATTGAGCTCCACCAGCCAGGGCTAAACCATGATTTTTTAAAAAATTGAATTTATCGGAGTTGTTCCAGGTGTACAATACACAATATATCATCTGTGTATTGTATTGTGTATTCACCACCCCAAGTCAAGTTTCTTTCCATCACTATTTATCCTCCCTTTGCTGTGTCCTATCTCCCCCTACTTCCCTTTCTCTCTGGTAATCACTGTATTGTCGTATGGGGTCTTTTTGTTTATTTAATCCCTCCACCTTTTTCATTCAGTCCCCACAGGTCTGTTCTACTTTGTTAGTTTATTTTGTTCATTAGATTCTACACAGAAGTGAAATTATATAGTACTTGTCTTCCTCTGACTGGCTTATTTCACTTAGCATAATGCTCTCTAGGTCCATCCGTGCTGTCACAAAAGGTAAGGTTTCCTTTTTTTACAACTGAGTACTATTCCATTGTGTAAATGCACCACAGTTTTTTTTATTTACTCATCTACTTAAAATTTACCTCAAATGTTTCTTCTGGGAAGTCTTTCTTAACATTGGGTTTCCCAAATTAATACTAATAATAATGTGTGTCTAATTTATATCCTACTCCTCCCTATTTCTTACACCCTCAGGTAAAGGTGACATTAGGGAGTAATAGGGATTTGGGCAGAAGGAAGAGTGTACAGTGTGTCCTGCCTAAAAGTGCTTTCATTCAAATTAGAAGACAAACCAACTATATTCTCCTTAAATAATACCCTTTTATGGGAGGGAATCGATTGGTTGTAATTATGTAATTTTTGATGTATTACATTATAAATGCTTCAATGTTTCTTCACTGAAATTAGTTAATATCCTTGCTGAGATAAGTAAGGGAGATGAGACTATCCCTACAGTCTATTAATGGTTTATTAGAAACCATTAATATATTATCATTTGAGGGTCATTGGAAGGCAAGGGCAGAGATGCTGTTAATGGACGAGAACACCGAAAGGGCAGGGCTGAATTTCTTTGTCATTTTTAGCTTGTGTTTTTTCTCATTGTTTTTCCTCCAGTGTCCGCTGCATTTATACTCATCAGCGTGTGTGTGTGCAGACGTGCTGCCTGGAGAGCAGCGCAGTCTGAGTACCAGAGTGAGTTCTGACCGCGAGGGACACGAGGCAGGGCTTGAGACAGTTTCTCCTTTGCTCCATTCACTGTAACCTTATGGAGGAGACAAAAGAACTGGGAGAAGAAGGAAGATGTTTGTCTTAGTTCTGGCTGCCTTAACAAAATACCATAGACCAGGTGGCTTAAACAACAGAAATTAATTTTCTTAGTTTTTGAAGGCCCTGAAATTCCAGATCAAGGTGCAGGCTGATGTCGTTCCTGGTGAGGGCTTTCTTCTTGGCTTATAGACCAGGGCCTTCTTGCTGTGCCCTCACTTTGAGGCAGAGAGAAAGAGCTCTTTGATGCTTCCTTTTATAAGGGTACTAACTCCATTATAAGGACCCTACCCTTATGACCTCACCTAAAGTGAATTATCTCCTAAAGGTCCAGTTACCAAATAGTATCACCCTGGGGGAAGTTAGGGCTTCAGCACATGAATTTGTAAGGGACACAGTTCAGTCTATACCAGGGCTCTAGTCATTTTTGGGGTAACTTTCTTATATCTTAAGACTTTTGACCATTGTTATTAATGCTTTGGAGACTCTTCCCAGAATAGGAATGTTTTTGCCTTGCTTAAGTTTTATGTGTGACCATGGTTACTGGGTTTTAAAAATAACTCCAGATGCCACTGCTAATAATTTCCAGGCATCACAGGCTCTCTTCACAGATTGTTACTTGGTCCAGTAAAGTTGTTGCCCCCGTTTCTGTCCCCCTTCCTGTCCCCTCTGCCAGGAGCACTTTCTTGGTCTTATTGTCGGTACAGCAGCTTTAGTACAGACTTTTTCTTCTTCAGGTGGAGACCACGTCGCTTTGCGAGGCCAGAGTTGATGAAGATCTTACACAATTCAGTGGATGATTCTTTTAAACGTCTTATTTATCCTCTCCTCTGTAGAGAGTTCAGGTATGCATCTTGTCTAATTTAGTTCTGTGTAATGTTTATTACTATGTATGATAATAGGCCCATTAAAAGCATGTAGTAAATATTTTTTGATCCATTAACCAATCCAAAGCGCTGAGTCACAATCACAAAGTCTTAAAATTAAGCCTAGGTTTCAATCTGCATGTAGATCGTACACATAGATCACAAAACATAGCTCTTAATTGCGATATGCTTATCAAATCTTCACCCCTTACTGTGTATCCTGTCCAGTTCTGCAATACCAGTCTTGCAGTTTGACAATCAAGCTAAACAAAGGGTTTTATTGATGAGAGATTTGGCTTGGGAGAAACAAACTAAGAAGTTAATGGAGAAGTTAGTTGGAAGTAGATTTTAGAGATAAAGTGAGCCAAAAAAAAAAGCATAAGGGAACCAGTGGAGCACACAATGAATCTTTTACTATAAAGAAAGAAAGTTAATATAACGTTTTTCACTTCAAATGGGAGTCATTTGGGTGAGTAATTATCAGCAATGATGAGCAAACATTAGAAGATTATGAAAGAGATCATGTAGATGGCCTAGCACAGGGCTGTCAAACTCATTTTCACCCGGGGCCACAGCAGCCTCGAGGTTGCCCTCAAAAGGCCGAATGTAACGTTAGGACTGTATAAATGGAACTACTCCTTAACCAGGGGCAAGGAGCTCGGTGCTCCTCCAGGGGAGAAACAAGGTGCTGGGCCAGATAAAATAAAGTGGAGGGTGGGATTGGGTCTACGGGCCTTGTGTTTGCCACCTGTGTTCTAGCAAAAGGACTCAGAGTTACAAAGAAGAAAAACTGCAAAAGAGGTGAGGTGCAGAATTGTTTTTAGGGGGAGAGATGGAAAGGAAAGTGATGTCGGGCAAAACCCCTCTTTCTGTCTGTCCCTTGTCTTGGGAGGCAGTCTTTAGAAAGCAACCATTTCTTCATCCCTGCTTCCTGTGTTCTATGGGTTTGCTTTTCTCAGTTGTTTATAGGTTTCAGCAGGGGTTACCTGGGAATGATCATTTCTAGTCATCTCTTCAGTTACTAGAGTTTATAGCAGCCTTTATAATATTTGTCTGTTCTTCTTTTAGGGGACCTGGCCATTGAGCTGGGAGGGGTTTAGAGCAGGGAGTGAGGAGATAACTATTAAAAAGTATGCACAGCGTCTCGTCCAACTTCTTTTTTTAAAAACCAATGTCATTTATTTTTTTGGTTTATCCTTTTTAACCCAGATATCCCTTAAAAATAATGTTTCTTTTGGAATTCTAGTTCAAGTCTGTGCGAAGTAACATGTCTTGATTTTGAGTGCTCAGACATCAAATTTAAAACTAAGGGATTCTGTCCTTAATGAAGTGAAAAAGAAACTTACTTAAAATTTCATTTCCTTTACCTTGTTTTCTCTCATTGCATGTAATATCCTATGGCACTTTTGACATTTTTGTATGTATTTGATTTGTGTAGCTTCACTACTTGTGGAGTAATTTCATGGAGATTTAATGAAAGCACCTTGCTGTGGAATTGTTTCTTGTAAACTCTGACTGCCACTAGTGGCAAGGAAAAGAGCACTTTTCTTTTCCTAAAATGCCTGTGGCTAAAAAAAATATCTTATTTCATTCCATAAGTTGGTTTTCATGCATAGTCCATAGATGGGTCTCTTGATAGAAATACTTGTAATCACCTGAACAGCAGTTAAGGGGAAAAACTCCCAGTGGATTTTTTAGAAAAGAAAATTACTTTATTTTTCTAAGAAATCTGTCCTAATACAGAAAAATTGAAAGAATCAGTAAAACAAAAAAACCACATGATTTTACTACCTTGACCGTATCATTGTTAACCAAATTTTCTCTATTAATGTATATATATTATTTTTTTAAGGATTTTATTTATATATTTTTAGAGAGAGGGGAAGGGAAGGAGAAAGAAAGGAAGAGAAACATCAGTGTGTGGTTGCCTCTCACATGCCCTCTACTGGGGTACTGGCTCACAACTCAGGCATGCGCCTTGTAACAGGGTACAGCCAAGAGGGGGGCTCCCAAAAGGGATTTGGAATGGGGTCCAGAAAATATTAGGATTTCCTGGAAGGGGTCCTTACCCCTTCCAGGGATGTGAGTTGGGGGAAGGGACAAATGGAGCAGGGCCATTGAGAGCTGTTTTGTACAGCCACAGCTTTGCAGCTAACCTCTGGCATGGTCATTTAACATATCTGTAACCTTTAACTGGTTTCATAGATATGTTGATTAGCTGTGGCCATGCTTTGAGCCTGGAGAAGGGAGTGACTTCCACCCAAGATGTAACTGGGAGGGAGGCAACTCCCCCTGTTTACAGCACCTGCGTGAGAGCTTGGAGATCATTGGCTCCATGACATGGGGCCAGGCCTGCCCAGACTCACGATGGCAGCCCAGTAAACTTGGAAGGATATGGGAGTGCTGGCCAGTGTAACTGATTGTAGGAGGACTCAGAAATGGGGCTGCAGAGGAGGTTTGGCTCAGAGATTTAAAACCCAGACTCGGCAGTCATTGGAGGGAGGACCATGTGGCTGTGGCGGTACAGGGAGAGCCACGCACTTCTGGCAGAGTGGGGACTCCCACAGCCATGTGAAGGAGAATCACAGTGTGGCTTTAGCAGAGAACCGCCACTCGGCTTTGGCAGAGTGCCGACCCCTCCTCTCCCCGCAGCTCTGGTGGAGAGAAGAACCATGTGGTTTTGGCCAGAGTGGGGACCCCTACGGCCTTGGTAGAAGAGGATGGCGTGGCTTTGGGGTGCTCCCTTTGGCTGCGTGGCCTTGGAATCAGGAGAGACTTTGCCTGGAAGAAGGGTGAAAGAACTCTTGCCAGTAGGCCATAAGAAGGTGTCACATGGCTTTGGATTAATCAGAGATCCTGTCTGGACAGCGACACAGCTGGTGGTGCCAGTGGCCTGAAACTTCGTTTGCTTCTTATCCTGACTTACAGTAAATTAGGGTGGGGGGAAGGAAGCACTGTGGCCGTCTGTGGGTACCCTAAAGGGTTTTGATATTTTAATGAAGACATTAGGTCACTACTTTAAGTCTGTACAGCATTAAATAAACGTTTCCTTTCCTTTTCACAAATTTCTGGCATTGAGAAACGTCTTTCCTGTCTGGCTGTGGACATAACGAACCTGGTAGGGGGTCCTTTTGGTAACCGTATATCGTCCCCTCCCTTGGCCCTGTATGTGTGCCCTTTGTTCTGTAACACCCTGACTGGGAATCGAACTGACCACCCTTTGTTTCTCATCCCATGCTCCGTCCACTGAGCCACACCAGCCAGGGCTCATTTTGTATATATTAAAAGAGGACGTATAGCCCTGGCTGGTGTGGCTCAGTGGATTGAGCTCGGGCCTGCGAACCAGACAACCGTGGTTCGATTCCCAGTCAGGGCACATGCCTGGGTTGAAGGCCGGTTCCCTGCAGGCCAGTTCCCAGCAGGGGACGCACAAAAGGCAACCACACATTGATGCCTCTCTCCCTCTCTCCTTCCCTTCCCCTGTAAAGATAAATAAATAAAATCTTTAAAAAAAAAAGAGGACATACAGACTATGTTATTTGTAGCCACTTTATTCATTTGACTATATACTGTGGAGAGTCCACTTTTCTGCATTTCTCATTTCTGTGACTGTCATGATCCTTCATTCATGTGTCATTTTTCACACCTACTTCTTTCTTTAAGCCACCAGTTACCATCTTTTATTATATTTTGAATTTTGACTCCTGTTTATTTCCATGGTTACTAGGGGATAGTTAGTACCTGTCCATGGTTAGTTCTGGCCATCATCATTTTTGTTTGAATTATTATACTCAGGTCATAGATGACTCTGCCTTGTATTTTCCAATACATATTCCGTGTTGCCATCCTAAAATTACCATCTGATTATTTCATATTCGTCAACTTAAAACCCTTCCATGGATCCTTGTCTCCAGGAAAAAATGTAACCTCTTTAAAAGAATGTGCATGACCCTTTGTGGTCTGTTCTGTTTTTGCCTAGTGTCTTGGCATTTCTTTTTACTTTAGCATGTGAAGTTACTTGCTTTTGCTGTGGTGAGCCATGAGCCGCTTCCTTTGCCTGAAGTATTTTCTTCCCACCTGTGTTTACTAACTCTATTTCTTACTGTTCTTGATTCACCTGAGAAGACACCTCTTTTAGAAAGTCTTCCTTATTTAGCTATCCCTCATAAGTAAGTGTTCCTATTGGAATAGCACTTACTGTTTTATACTTGTTTATTTATTTTTCCATTCCTTCTACTAGACAGTGGTCTTCAGGGCAGGGATCTGATCTTTTCAGCTTTGTGTCTCTCAAGCCCGACCATGGTGCCTTATGTAAGGCTGACAACAAATGCTTGCTCCATAAATAAAGTTCAAAGTGAAGCTGTAGAAGTATCTGTAAGGATATTTTTCATGTTGCATGGCTGAATGCAGGCAAAATGGCCGTGAAATGTTAGAGAAGATGAGAGAAAGCCTCGGGGAACTGAATTAAGCCAGTAAAGTAAACATTAGTTAGCTGGGTGTGCTTTTACTTATGTAAATAATTCTACCTCAAAACTAATACGAAGCGTGCTTTGAATTGCACAGTTCAGTGTGAACTCTCAATTTTCTCGTGGCCAGTGACATACATTTTTTTAACCTTGTCTAATAGAGATGACATACTTTTTATAATTTCTTAGGAATTTCAGGAGAGAATAAGTTTTATTAAGTAGATGAATGGTGTAAAACTTAGTTTACAATTATCTTTAAGTTCATTATAGACATTTTTATTCTAGAACAAGTTTTAAAGTTAGACTTTTAGTAACTTTTTATAAAATTGGGACGTATTTATATGAGTCGTGGTTCTAGACTGGCATTCGTGTCTGCGGTCATATCACATCAGTGTGGGGCTGACCAGCGAGGGCATGGAGTGGAGTGAGAAGGCGACACTGAGATATGGGCAGGTGAGGCTGTAAAACTCAGTATTGGTGGAGGAGGCAACTTATGATTCAGCAACATTACTCTGAGGGCATGTTTATATTTTTAATCTGCTGACAAACTTTACTTTGGTATTGTGTGATGTCCAAATCTTTACACACCTGTGCCTCTCACATACACAGATGTTTATACCTGTAGATTTTGTGTACAAGGATGAGCTGAGAGTGGAGTGAGGGTATGATGAACTTGGTAGGTTTGTTACCATAGGTATTTGTGGTACCATGTTACTGCAGTTAGCAAAAATAGACTCAGTGTAATTTTGTGTTTATTTTTTCTCTTAGTAATTTTGTTATAATAAATGTTCCTGTGACGAATAACTGTACAGAATGAATTCTGTTGTTCTTCTGGAAGAAAATTTGGGTGAATGAAAAACTAAATACATTCTCTTCTTTCTTTTTCTTTTTCTATTTCTGAAGAGCCAAACTAACTTCAGACGCAGAGAAGGAATCTGTAATGATGTTTGGACGGAACCTTCGTCAGCTCCTTTTAACAAGCCCTGTTCCAGGGCGCACCTTGATGGGAGTGGACCCTGGCTACAGACACGGCTGCAAATTAGCTATAATTTCTCCTACCAGTAAGCATACCCTTCAGCTTGTGTATTACAGTTGTTTGGTTGGGCATATGTTTCACTTTATGTATTTCATGAGGTTTGGAAATAATGTTAATTTTCACATCTTAGAAAATGATTTTCTCAGATACAAGGATATGGAACCAGAGAATCAAACTTCTTATTTGTCATATTTGATGACCCAAATCCTCAATATGTTACTGTCATTTATGCTTTTCCCTGTGTCGCTGTGGAGATGTCCCACTGAGGTCAGACTCCAACAACTCTTCAGCTTTATTGTGATGGATTTACGTGTGATACATTTTACTTTATATATTTATTTATTTTTATTGATCTATTTTTTTATATATTTGCTTTTTTATAGCACAGGAAGATAATCTTTATTATATTGTAACTGGAATCAGAGCAGATAGCAAATTCACGAGGTAGTTTTGGTTACTTTATTTTAAAGATCAGGCTTCAGTAACAATAATCAAAACAAGTCTGAACTGCACAGATATGTGGGTCACTGCTGGGGTCTGCAAAGGCTCAAAAGCCAGCAGGGTCAAGTAACATCAAGGTAATGACTAAGAATGTCAACGGGCCAAAAATGTAGATCACTGCAATAAACTCTACCTTTGCGGTTTCTTAACATTCTTCTCAAACTGAACAATTTTTGTTAGTCAGCACAATATCGAGCATGCACACGGAATTCCTACAAGAATAGTATCTTAATATTGTGAGTGTTACTACCAGGCTTTTGTTTCCCCCCAAGTTCACTGGATCATGGTTCCATTCCCTGTGTATATTAGTGTTAACAGTAATATGCAAACTCGATTTTGTTTTCAAGGTTAAATAGCAGATTGGCTTCACATTTGGTGGCCAGCTGTGTACCTTAATTTTTCATCTTTTATGTTTTAAATAAATTTAACTACATTTCATAAGCCCAGAGATTTTCAATAACCTGCTAATGATTGTATACTTTTAATTTACACTTCATTCCAATTAATTTGAACCCCACATACATATTTAAAATTATTTACAGATGGTTGTAACTAAAGCAATGATAAAATTTACTACTTGTACAGTTCAACTGCTAATAAGGCCTTTAACTGAGAGCTGCATATTTTATGCATTTTTTTACTTGCTGGGAGCAATTCTTAAAATTGCAGCTATGATTCTCGGTGAGCAGTAAGTGCTTTCGCTCCCACATGGGTAACCAAATTCGCTTCTCCCTCTCTTGTGAAACAGCTTCCCCCCAAAACATAAATGTTCATTGTCCAACTGAACAGGTGCCAAAAGAAACCTGAATTTGAGCAACAGATTGATAAATATAATGACTAGCAGAGAAGTTTGCTCCTAACAGGCGCTCAATACATGTTTGTCACAGTGGAATGTGCGGATCAGGAGGCAGCTCCTGAAGTTAAGAGACTTTTCATCATACACTATAACTGCTTAACAAGGGAGTTCAAGGTTACCAGACTTAATTCTCCCTCAAACGTTAATACAAGATTTTGAAATTTTAAAAACTGTTTTAACAGTTCCCAGAAAATGTAAACAAGTTGACAGTAGTTGCTACTACCATATTAATTGAGAGAAAAAAAGAACAATGACTAAGTCATAATGTACACCTGAGGAGAATACAAAATTAAGAAGTGCTAGCTAATTATTATTTCCTCTAGATTTATCCTTGTGGTGTTTTTTGTTCACATGTTTATTTATCCCTGTTAACTTCTGGAGCTGAAAGAGAACTTTAGTATCTGGATGGATCTCGCCGTCTCCTTTGGTACATGATTAGTGAGAAGCTGGTGTGAATGTGAGGTGTGTTCTCATGTCATGCCACGTCTCCGTATTGGTTTTCTGCCGACATGAAATTTGTCCTATTGAAATGATTCTGTGAAGAGTAAAAATTAACACTTCGTACAAAGTACAAAATTACAAATGTAGCATTATTTCAATAAGGTAAGACTAGGTCCACAGGAAGACTATGCACCTTCCTAGGTACATAGGAAGTAAGACTGTAAGGTGTAGCAGTTTGTAGTGCCAAACATTCCTTCATGTAATCATATCTGATTTAACTCTTATAGTTAAAAGTTGAAAAGTATTAATAAAACTTTTAAAAAGATTTTTTATTTATCTTTAGAGGGGAAGGGAAGGAGAGAGGGAGAGAAATATCAATGTGTGGTTGCCCCTCATGAGTCTTCTGCCGGGAACTGGCCTGCAACCCAGGCATTTGCCCTGACTGGGAATGGAACCGCGATCCTTTGGTTCACAGGCCCACGCTCAATCCACTGAGCTATACCAGCCAGGGCTGAAAAGTATTATTAAAAATTTTAATAGCAAAAATAAATAAGTGCTTTGTGAGAAGAGTGATTATGTATAGAATATGAACTCATCTGCCAGCTTATGAGATTGCTTGCTTATAATATTTCAGATTTTGTTGATGGCTTTGAAGCATATTGCACACTTGTCCTCTAGCATATTAATAAGTAACTTATTCTTTTTAGAAAGGATATGCTGACAAAATCTTAGGTTAATGTCTTTGACCAAACATTTGTAGTCTGTCACAGGACAATAGCAGTGACACAAACATTGATGACAGAGTTCGTGCTTTGGTTCCCCCATCTTGCTTTTGGTCTAGACTGTCAGATGTGGTACCCCAGATCATGAGCTGGCTTAATGATAGCCGTGCACAGCCCTCTGGACCACTGCCCGGGTCCCAGTATATTTATCAGCTCTTCCGAACTTGACCAGATGTGCTAAGGACAGTTCTACTATGCTTGTATTGGTTGACGTTGTTCTGATTGTAATCTCCACCCAGAACCCCGTTTATAAACTCTTCAGCAACACTGTGGGCCTCGTCTGCATTGAAGCCACCTCGTCATAGTGGCGATGATGCTCCCTGATTGTGGTGCCCGTGCGATACATTTTAATTCTCGGTGTACATTTCAAGTACCCCAGGGCACTTTTATTGTTTTGGCCAGTAAACGTTTTTTTCTATTACTCATATATTTACCCTTTCTATTAATCTTCTTTCTATGTTTGACTTTTTATGTGAGATCATTTCTTTCTACCTAAAACTCTAGACAGTTACTTTCCATGTGTGTCAGTTGGTGACAAACTATCTCAGTTTTTGTTTGAAAAAGTGTCTGCCCTGCCTGGTGTGGCTCAGTGGATTGAGTGCTGGCTTGAGAACCAAAAGGTTGCTGGTTTGATTCCCAGTCAGGGCACATTCCTGGATTGAGGGCTAGGTCCCCAGTTGAGGGTGAGTGAGAGGCAACTTGTCAATGTGTCTTTCACACATAGACGTTTCTTTCCCTCTTTTTCTCCCTCCCTTCCTCTCTCTCTAAAAGTAAATAAATAAAATCTTTAAAATTTTTAAAGATTAAAAAAAAATTTTTTTTGAAGAATATTTTTGGAGGTTTATAACTCAGGATTGGCAATACTTTAAAATGTCATTTCAATTTTTTGTGGGTTTATTTTTTAAGTTTTTAATTTTTAAATTATATTTATTGGAGTGGCATTGGTTAATAAGATCATATAGGTTTCAAACGCACAGTTCTGTGGTACATCATCTGTGTATTGTGTTGTTTCCCACCACCCAAAGTCAGGTCTTTTTCTGTCAGCATGTATTTCATGTAGATTTTTAGTTTTGTCTGATTCATTCATTCATTCATTCATTCAACTATGGTTTCTCTTGAGAAATAAGCCAGAAATCTTATTATTTCCCTTGCCTGCAGAGATTGTCTCTTAATGGTTTTCAGAAGTTTTCTTATGTTGTTATTATTATTATTATTATTCGTGGCATGAGTTCTGCTTGGGTTTATGGAGATTCTTGTGTCTTTTTTTGGAATTTCAATTAAATGTGTATTAAACCTTTCAACTTTCTATTTTCCATTCTTTTGTTTTATTTTCTCTTGATTGGCTTTAAGTTAATACTCTTATTCTGCTGTCTTTTCTCTTATTATATTCATCCCTTGAGTTCTTTCTTCAAGCTATTATATTTTCAAGTTCTGGAATTTTCATTCGATACTTATAAAAATAGATTACAGTTCTGTGGTGAACTTCTTCACCTCTTAACTTGTTTGAATATTTTGAATTTGTCTTATTTTTACCCTCTGTATCCCCTAAGGTATTTACTACTTATTCATTTTTGTGTTTCTTTTGGTTTAGAATTTCAATTCTGAAGTAACTTTCTTTCATATGTAATTCATTCCTGAGTTCTCTCATCTCATGTCTGAGGTTTTCTATTTCTGATTTGGTATTTTATTTTCTATCATTTATTTTGTAGCTAGTTCTTAAATATTAGGTATAGTTTCTTTCTGTTTTGTAGTCAAGGACATCAAACTAGTCTTTTTATTTCTTGTTTTTCAAAATAATTGTTCTGTGTCATAGTTGACTATGACCCTTTTCTATAGATTAGTGTTACATAAAATTAGTGTTCCTCAACCTTCAGGGAGGGTCATGAATGGTTTTCTAGCTGTGTATCCCTAGAACTGTTACTTCTGTTTTTTTTCCTAAAATTATTGGGAAAAAAAACTTCTGTATCTATGTAAATTGAGAGTAATGTCACAGTTTCTGAAATCTGCTTCCTTGTTGCTTTCTTCCCTTTTACCTGGACTTTTTTTCTTTGCTCATGCTCTTTTTAATTTGCTCAATGTGGATATGATTCTAACAATTTCTCTTCAGTGTGGGGTTTTCTACTGAAAAGGATATTCTGCTTTCAGTTGCAAGAGTTCATAGAGGTCAGAGTTTTCCAATCCTTTCTGAACGTGCTGTGCAGTGCGGCCTTCGTACTGACCTATGAAGGGAGTGTGCAGGGGCTTTCCCTCCGGTTTCAGCTCTGTTCTCCAACGACCCGTGGTAGTTCCCAGCAAAGTACCTTCTGACATTTTTGGGATTCCTCCTTTGTGAGATGATACTCTCTGCTTCCTCCGACAGAAATGTCACTGCATGAAGGCCTCGATAGTAGTCGGTGGGCTGTTCCCACCTGCTCACCCTCTGAGCAGGTTTTGTGAGGTTTTCGATTGGCTGTCCTGGTTGCTCTCTTTTTGTGCTACGCAGTTTGACAATAAATAGGATGTGCATTTTATCAATGCTTTTTCCCTGCGTCTATTGAGCTATTCTATGGCTTTTAACTTTTCCTGTGTTTGTATTGTTTATAGGATGAATTTTTTAAAATGTCACACACACGTATCTTCAGTCTGTTTTGTTAAGTAAGACTTTTCCAGTAATTTAACTATTTCATTATTTAATCTAAATGAACATAAAGTTGTTTATAATAGTTTCTCTGTATCATTTAAATCTGTTCTGCATTTGTACTTAATATCTTTTTATTTTTAATACAATTAGTTGCATGTTTTATCCTTTTGTTTTCTGGCTGGTATTACTAAAAGTTCTTCCTTCATAAGTCTTTTAAATATTAAACTTCATTGGTCTTCTATGATTTTTAAAATTTTTATTTTATTAATTTCTGCTTTTAACTTTATTATTTGCCACCTTCCACTTTCTTTGAGATTATTCTATTGCTCTTTTTCTAACTTCCTAAATTAGTCACCTACCTAATTATTATTTCTATTCTTTAGGTATCCTCAACTTTTTAAGTATATTTTTAGCTAAAATACAGTACAGAAAAGCTCACCATTCGTAAATGTAGAGCTTAGAAATTATACATGAACGAAATTATTCACGTGTCTACAATCCAAAGGAGACATTAAAATATCACTTATATATAGTAAATATTCAGTAAATGTTAGCTTTTACTGTTATTGATCTTAAGTATCATTAAAAATTAATAATGGATTTATGTAGCAAAGTAGAGTCCTCGTAACTTTGGAAGGAACAAAACTTCCTGGTGCTTAGGGAGAATCTGATTTAGTGAATATGGATGATTCCGACTGCATTGCAGAAGACAAACCAGCTCCCTTTCCTGTTTTAACTGGCCGAAATCATTGGTGTGTTAGGTTTTGTAATGCCTTATAAATTGGCTTATTCTTTTTCATTTTTTCCTAAGGTCAGATACTTCATACTGATGTGGTTTACTTGCATTGTGGACAAGGCTTCCAAGAGGCAGAGAAAATAAAGAGGCTTTTGCTGAATTTCAAGTATGAAAATAAGTAACCTTTTGAGGACTTCAGTTGCTCAGCCAATCAGAGATACCTTTGAAGCCCCTAATTTGGAGGGAGGGACTACGGGGGGAGTGCCTTGGGGAGGGAGAAGGAGCGGAGTAAAACAATGCAAGTTGCTGGGGCAAGTTGCTGGAGAGCCCTGATTTGGAGGCTCGGAGGAGCTCTCCTCCCTTCCTCTACCACCTTCTCTGAATAAAGCGGGTACTATGAGCAAAGTGAGCGTTTGATTTTTCTGTTTGGGCCTATACTCCCTTCCTTCCTCCCTCCCTCCCACCCTCCCTCCCTCCCTTCCTCCTTCCTCCCTCCCTCCCTCCCTCCCTCCCTCCCTCCTTCCCTCCCTCCCTCATGGATCTGAAGAATGGATGTTCCATTTGACAGCCTATCACATAATTCAGCCATAATGTCTTTATTATGGCTTAGATTCACTTAACCATTACTAAATTTGGTTCCTGCTAGCTGGGAGGAAAGCTGACTGTTCTTGAGGTGTGTGACAGTAAAATCTTTCTCCACTGCCTGCAATACCAAATGAAGCGGCAGTATTTTTCATTTTTCCTAAGTCTGTCTCCCCTGTGAAACAGTGGCGAAGTCGCTTGGGTAGGTGGGAGCGTATGGGCATTGGACAGTCGTATTTGTGCATTCTGTACCTTTTCTTCTGATTGATACGGAAGTATGCCTTGAGCTCATCCAGCATCTCCTCCTGTTTCTCCATTGAAGCTGCAGCACAGTGGTGATTGGAAATGGAACTGCCTGCAGGGAAACAGAAGCTTACTTTGCTGACCTGATCATGAAAAATTACTTTGCACCGCTGGATGTTGTTTACTGGTAAGGATGTTAGGGATGTTGTTTTCCTTGAAAGGCAAAAGAACTCAATTCCTTCTGTGATGTTTTCTCCCCCACCCACCTTTAAAAAAAGATACACATCTTGTTCTGCCTGAAACCACCTCTTGGCTGTTTACAAGAGCTTCCCGATACAATGTAAAGTGTCTGTCTGTGGCAGCAATTTGAGTTTCGGTATTCTGAAACTTCTCAGAGGAGCTGCCAGTTAAGGCTTACTTGGTTTCATGGGAATGCCCGGCTTTACACTGAGTGAGGGCCCTTGACGACTAATAAGCAGGACTGGATAACTTAGCCTTCTTCTCCCCGAGTTTTGATGCCTGTGAATCATTGGCCTTCAGAACTGAGAGCCAAGGTAAGTATTATAAATTAAAAGCATTTCTAAAGTTCCTTTCTGCTTTGTCTCTTTATCACAAGCTTTCAAGCTTTCATTTTATGTGGGCCTATAGTTAACCTGTAAATAGCTTTGGGTGCACATTACCCATTTGTCCATTCTTGCCCCTGTAGTAGTTCTGCTTTCATTTACTGTTGTTTTCTCACTTTCCCTTTGGAACTCAAATAGACATGCTTACCTTTTCCAGACTGTTGTACAACATTAATCCCGAAAGGGTTTAATTCTAGGAGATAAGGTAGTTATAAAGGTCCAATATGTAGGAGAGAACACGTAAAAGCCATCTTCTGCCGCTTTCCGAAAAGTATACTGACTAATGAGTGTGTGTCTACTGACAGCATCAACAGAACAAAACAAAAGCCAACAACCAACACAGGAAGAAGAGTTCTGTGCCCCATTTAGGAAGGGCAGGAAAGAAGGGCCTTGTATTTAGTGTAGTATTTTGTGTGCCGAGAGTATGATCAAGGTGTCAGAACACAAACTGAGGGTAACTGATGGGAATTACAGGGTCCGCTGCAGGTGCCATAGGATCATGGTTTAGGGAAGCAGCAGACTGTGAAGTCCACCTCAGCCTTTTCCCTCTGCCTCTTGCTTCTTCTCGGTCAGGTTGGTTCGGAGATGACTGCAGACTTTCCGTATTCTAGGGGCTGCACACGTGCACCCTGTGCTTTTGAGAATTTAACGTGAGCACCTGACGTAGCCGATTCCGTTGACTTCAGGCAGATACTCTGATTTCTGTTTTACTTACTTGCATTAATTTGCTGTAAATATCTTGGGTACTTGTATAGCCATTATAAATAGAACTTCCAAATCATTAAAATCAAATAGTGAGGACTTCTTAAATTTCATCTGAAGTTACTGATAGAGTATCCCTTTATTGAACTTTCAGCAGTGATTATAGCAGAAAGAGGAAGGATGATTTTCTTTGAATAATAATGATCATGGAACTCCTCTACTTTGAAGGGATCACTCCTAGTGTCTCCCTGGAGTTCAGTGCTGCCTTTTGTATAAGTTTAAAACATTTAAAGCAAATAATCTTATTTATAAGTGTTTTTAAAATATTGATGACATTTTATAAGTTTTAAACTCAAGAATGAAAAGCAGCATTTATGGTTTTTTAGAATTTTGCTATAATCATGTGAGATTTTTTTCCTATTTTGATCCATGAGTATGCTAAATTGTAGTAGATTTTCTGTAGTAGAACTGTTTTTGCAATTGTGTTTGCACTCCATTTTGTAATAGTGTATTATTCTTTTAAGGTCCTGTTGGGATGTTTTTGCTAATATTTTTATGAGCTTTTGGACTCCTTCAATAATGTAAGTAGCAAATCAGAATTTATAGGGAGTTTTAGAAAAATCATCTATTTGATTTCATCTTCTTATTGTTTTGCCGGTTCACCAGGCCTTTATGAGGAAGCCATATTTCATCCTCTAACATTTTGAAGTTATATTGCAAACTCTGTCTTAGTTGACATTTTCATGCTTTCTGGGGCAGAAATTGTTCGCAGTTCCTCAACATATAATCTGGTATGCATTGTTACAATCCTGTCATCTACTCCTCCTGAAAGGCCTTCTCCTGGCACGTCCTGGAGCACTCCCCTTCTGTTGCCTGGACAGGTCTGCTGTAGGCCGACATGTACCGTGACTTACCTCCCTGTTAGCACCGTGCACCCTGAGCTACCTGTGCAACTTCTTCTAACCTGTGGCTCTTTCTGTCCTTAATAGGCCGTACAAACTTTGGTGCTCACAGACAGGGTGGGGCAAAAGGAGGCTTATAGTTGTGAGTACACGAAAACACAGTTTATTCTTGTTTTGTCATTATTATTCCATATGAAGAAATGTAAACCTACTTTTGCCTCACACTGTGTAATATGGGGATGTCATTCAAAATTTCATATCTTAATTTCCAAAAAAGGAAAAAAACTGGAGTTAAGTTGTGGAATGTAACTATGCTAAGACTTAGTCACACATGTTCCAGTGTTTGTAAAAAGAAATTCTACAATATCATACATGTCATTTAAGTATTTGCTACAGTGATTTGCTATTTTACTCTGGCTCATAGTAGGTACTCATTTTACTTTTTGAATAGCTGAATCTTTGTTTTCATTCATGTTAAATTGTTATATTTTGTATTTTCTGCATTTTTACCCATTTTCCTTTTGGTAAACAATAGTGGTTTCTTTTGTGTAGCAATGGTAGCGTTTATGGAAATGTAGAAATACCTAGCTTCTTATGAGACATTTGTGTTTGTATTCCATGTATCTGGTTTCTCTTACATTGAAACTTTCTTAAATCAGGGAAACAAATTTTATTTATCTCTACTTCCTTGATATTCAGCATATTTCTGTACTTACAGGTCTGTATCAGTAAATACTCAGGATTTCAAATTGTTAAATATTAAGGATAAAACTATAGTTGGCCCTTGAACAACACAGGGATCAGGGCCTCTAACCCTTCTGCAGCTGAAAATCCACATGTAACGTTTGACTCCCTAAAAACCTAAGTCATCCCCCAATATGCACATGGGGTTGGTTCCAAGACCCTTGCAGACACCAAAATCAGCTGATGCTCAGGTTCTTTATGTAAAATGCATAGATCAATGCATAGAGTTGGTCCCTGGCATTTGCAGACTCCCAGCCATGTATTGAAAACAGTGCAGGTGTTTATCGAAAAAAATCTGTATATAAATGTGCTTGTGTAGTTCAAACCCACGTTGTTCAAGGGTCAATTGTATTTTTTTAAATATTTTATTTATTTATCTTTAGAGGGGAAGGAAAGGAGAGAGGGAGAGAAACATCAATGTATGGTTGCCTTTTGTGCGTCCCCTGCTGGGAACTGGCCTGCAGGGAACTGGTCTGCAACCCAGGCATGTGCCCTGATTGGGAATCGAACTGCGATTGTCTGGGTCGCAGGCCCATGCTCAATCCACTGAGCTACACCAGCTAGGGCTGTATTTTTAACGAGACAATTCTTTTCAAGACTATTGACCAGAATTACTGTGTGCCGCAACTACGGAAAACTTCCCCTCTGCCTAATGCTTTGGTAAATCTGTGACTTACTATTTTCTCTACTTTTCCATTATACTGAAACTCACACTTGGCAGATTATAGACTTAGATTTTGCCAAAGATAAATGATTTCTGAAATGGAAATATTGCATGCCTAGAGTTATATATTTATTTAATGAAGTATAAAAGAATTAAAAGTGATCTTTACTATTTGCTGCCTGTATTTCAACTACAAGTATTATGATTTATGCTGAGAGTGGAAACATTGCTGGAAATCACAGCACTGAATGCATTCTGGAGAATCACAGTACGTGAGACCACTTAGAACCTGGAAGCAGAAAAGGGAAAAGAAAATTTTGTGCTGTTAATTCACATCCCGTGCTTAATGTTTCTACTCTGAAAGCTGCAATACATAAATGGCTTTGAATAGGCAAATAACGAAATTAATTTTGCTTCCTAATTACTTCATTCATTAGGATAGTGAATGAATTAGGAAATAGAATGGAACAAGAAAGTGTGGTATACGTATAACAAAAGAATGAAAAAAGGGGAGGGGATCTTCAGTGGAAGGTTGGGGGTGTGGTTTTCAATGACCAACGGCTTGGCCAATGATGGACAAATGGATGGTTGCATCTCATTAGAAATGAGGGTTTGTGCTAGATATCTGAGAATGCACATTGGACCTCTTGCTTCTTTCATTACAGTAGGGTATCTGCCATTTACTAGAAGGAAAATATAATTTAAGTAATTATAACTTAGTTTCTTGGAATAAGTTGATATGCTTTCCGAGTCTAACTAAATTGAAAGGAATAGCTTGAGCCTCAAAGGTCTAACTCATTTATGAAAAATGCCTAATAGTGAAGCTAATGAAAGTCTTTTGTCTTAAAGTTAAAAAAAACACATGATTTCTTTAAAGAATAATGGTACCATTGATTGATTTAAAAGTATAGGTAAGTGGTAGGATGTACTATTACTTCAGATGTTATTTATATTTTAGAGCATATTTAAAAGTATTGTGCCATAGATACAAGCAGCCCTTGGAGTATTGCAGGTTTGGTTCCAGACCACCAAGGTGAATATTATGGTTACAGTACACTGTAGTCTGTTGAGTGTGCAATAGTGTTTCTAAAAAAACTGTGTCCATACCTTAATTAAAATATACTTTTGCCCTGGAAAATTTTAATCCTCATCTGAGCCTTCAATAAGTCATAATCTTTTTGCTTCTGAAGGGCCTTGCCTCGACGCTAATGGCTGCCAACTATGGTTGTGGCAATTTCTTAAAATAAGACAATGATGAAGTTTGTCACATCTACTAACTCTTCCTCTGAGGAACGGTTTCTCTGTAGATGTGATATTTTGTAGATGTGAAAGGAATCCTTTTTCTGAGTACTAGGTCTCAATAATGGGCTTGAAATATTCAGTAAACCATGTTGTAAACAGACATGCTGTCATCCAGGACTTGTTGTTCCATTTACAGAGGACAGGCAGAGTAGATTTAGCATAATTCTTAAGGGCTCTAGGAGTTTTGGAATGGTTAATGAGCATTGGCTTCAACTTAAAGTCACCGGCTGCATTAGTCCCTAATCAGGGA